ATTTACAATATTAACACCGTGCATTTCTTATAATTTAGAGACTCAAACTCTTTTTTGAATAAACTTGTAATTCAACGCGCTTATTTACAGTTATACGAGTTTTACTCAAAGATTCGAATTATACGAAATAAAATCGTGCACGTTTACTGTAGATCATTTGACTATGTAAGAAAAAAGTGAGACTAATGTTTGTGAATTGGTAATGAGTTCATTCCTGAATAGCATTCGAGCTCATTTCAGCACCAGCCGGATGATGCGTGCTTCCTGGTATTGTTTTTATACCCAAACCAGTTCTTTTCCAAATGACCCCATGCAGTCGGCCAATAATGCCTTGATAGACGCGATAGCCACTTTACGACTAGAATGCAGACAAGAATCCTAGAGATGCGATAAAAGCAGATCCACTCTTGCTGCATAGCCTTAACGGCCGTAACGATGCATATATGCCAAGACTCTCCCCTACCAGATTTGGTAACGTTTTGAGTTACTGAATTTGGTAAAGGAAATAATTTAGCACTCGGGGGAGGTAATTACCTCCCGATCTATTACCAAATTTGGCAAATACATACTACAGTCAATTGTAATTAACTGACGATAATTCGATTTGTACGTTAATTCGATCGATAACTTCGGAACGCAAGCGGTCGAATTATAGGCAGTTGACTGTACTAAATATCGTAGGAGAGTACTGATGAGAACACACTCAGAATAATGAAAGATAATTATTGGACTAATCATCACCGGCCAAACGCGTAATTAGCAATCGAGAGTCTGCGTTATGCTAGACTCATTGAGAGAAACTTTGATCACGAATGAAAAAGCATATAAATTTTCGTCTTGTGGCATGACTTCTCTCTTGTTACTTCAAAGAACAACCCATATTATGTCGTCTAAGTCGACGTAGCGTTAGGTTTGGATACCAGACTGGAACATGGGACCGAACAAGACTAGCCAGTAATGATGATCGCTAGATGCATCTACCACCGACTTATGCAATTATACTTTTAGATAAAGTCTGTGTTCGCTTTTCACATCAAAAGAACTATCCAGCCTCTAGAAATGTCAATACAACTCTATTCTCGACCTTTAGATATTAATGAAGCGTCACCGAACAAAAAACAACACGACTTGTTACTCATAGCGGGCAAAGGGCGTAGTATATGTAGTTGAGATGGCAGAATGCTGAGAAATGGTTTCTATACTAGATCCGCGGTATACATTTCATAATCGACACACTGTACATGATCAAATTATTGCAAGCTATGAAGAAAAAAACAGCTAATCAAGACAATAGAAAAACATTCAAGGCGGCATTAAAAAGCTTCTCCCTAATGACTCGTATTTCTGATGGCCAAACGAAATCGAAAGAGATAAATACTCTAATCCGATCAAACCAGCCTTCACTGAAGAAGGATGGCTAAAGTTTGAAGCGGATTGGTAAAGGGTTTGTGGTCTTATACATATTTATTAAAATAATTTGAAGAAGCATGATGATGCAACTAATAAAGCAACAATTGGATATGCTGTTAATTTGAGCAGATATACCCAAGATCCGGATATTGATTACGCCCGAACTTGATGAGATGCACAGTCGATCCGAGAATTTGACGCTTGATGAGTATACTTCCGTTGAAGAGGAGTCGCATTGACAAACTAGACGTGGATTGGTGAAAGTACAGAAAGTCGAAAGAGATATAACCATTAATAAAAAAGACCGTTGCATCTTAGTTGGCTATGTTGATAACGGGATAACAAATTATTGAGGGACGTTCGATAAGTGCTCAATTCTTGGGCTATAGATACAATGGTTATTCTTTGGCAGCTATAAACAGCAATTAATATATTAATCCAAACTTTTTACAGTGGCCAAAGACACTCAAACCAACGACAAAACGGGTCAAAAAGGCTTTTTCTGCTCGCATAGCCGATCCTGCATTTGAGAATACACTAAAGAACCATCTTTGGTATCTAAGGCCAGCACTGCTGTCGTACTATAACTTACTTTATAAACGATTAAATGATGACGGCAGTGCGGATCGTGAGCCGCTAGCGATAATATTGGCTGACCTCTGACAAATCATCTTGCGTATATAGAAAATTTCAAGACGCTACGATAAGTTAAACGATTTCGAAATAGAGCTACGCGAGGCTTGGAATCACATTTACCAATATCGTTGTTTTTATAATCGTTATACAGTGGTGTGCAAAAAAATGGCATTCTCTATAGTTTGTGTATAGGTGACTTTCCCAATTTTGGGATTTGTTCATGTCATGTAAAATAAAAACAAAAGTTTATTTCTAGTGTTTTATTATTTTATGTAATTTTAATCGCTTGACAACTCTGAGAGTATTCCACTACAAAATGGCTCCCATCTAAGCAAAAGCATTCCTAAAGCGGAAAACATGCAATGCTTCTGAAATATACTCACAGATAAAAATTCCACCTAAGGCTGTGTACTGGAAGTAGTAAAAAAAATTCAATGTTAATTTTACATTAATAAAATCTACTAATTTCAAGCTTTAAGGTGTTATATGATATGTTTTAATTGGTTTACTCATTGTAAAATTCTAGCAATTTAAACAATTGCCTTTTTTTTCACTGTAATTATCGTTTGGATAAAAGAAGCATTGTGAAGGCAAAGATATCGGTACACAACGGCATTGCTCAGAAAAAGTCTCTTGAGAGAAACTTTGATGACGAATATAGCGGATTACGTGAATCGTGGTAAAGCTTCGGCCTTGTGGCATAACTTTTCTTGTTATAGACAATAAACAAGCTTTCGTCCCTAATGACTAGTAAGCGATAAAAAGATGTATTTAATATATCTGGGAACTTATTGTTATTTTTTTAACGTTAAATTTCTCAGTGCATTACATATTACTGTTTCCGGGAATGAGCCGCGTCTCGGCCATTAATTTTTGTATGCATAAAACGGGTTTAAAAGTTGATTATACCAAGCTCTTGTCGGAATGGCATGTCTTATCAACTATTGTGTATATCGATTTTCATTTCGAACATTCTTATTTCAAGAACCTGTATAACAAGAAATTATGAATTCCAAAATTCTGAAACACAAATTATGAGTGGGTAGACGCGTATCACCTCATCTCCGATGACGTCAATTCGCTTTATTGTTCATAAAATTATTGATGGACAAAAAGAGATGCATACGCAATAATCTGTCTTTGTAATGTCGCAGGTCTTTGCATGCACGATGACATCATAGTCAATAAAGTTACACCGTTCAATTCTTATTCGTGGCGGGCTTGTCATGACTTTGAAAAATATTGTGGATCTCGATAACTAGTGAGATACTATTGATAACCGTCAGAAGAATATCAATGGGAAAAGACCACAAGTCTAACATGGTCCGAATCACTAAAGTAAATTGTCGAATTATCTTCAAAAAGTGGCAATAACAACACAAAACACAAAACACAAAACACAAATTCACGAATCCATCAAATATTCAATATCGACTCTTTTCTATGTTTTTTACTGCAAATTAATTTTTTAAAAATCGTAGCACTTTACATGCACAGTCCAAAAACGCTTTTTTTTTAAAATAAGAAAATGTGTAGCGGAGGGGAAGCGTGGAAAGTTGTATCTTTTTACACAAATATATATATATGAATGAAAGAGGGAGGAAATGGAGAGGACAAATAAATCAAAAACAATGTCTGATGATAGATAGTTCAATGTTAGTTCACAGTGCTCAAAAATATGCCAAATTGACGAAGAGGGGAGAAGAGAAGAAAGGGGAGGCGGGAGGCGGAGGGGGACTGCTCCGCATTATACAGACTTGGGATTACGTGACGAATTTCACTTGCCGAAAGGGAAAAAAAAAGGTGGTAACTTGTACTCTATTGTTTTTTTTTTTAAAAAAAAAAAAAGTGTCCATAGACTGACGGGTGAACGTCTCACATTACGCTTTCGATTACTCCATTCTTTTCGGCCTCGTATCAAAATTCTTCTCTCATAATGCATCTCGATCCCATTTCGCTGATATAAAAACCTCCTCCTTTTTCTTTTTCTCTAACAGCATCCACTTCTAATAATTTTCTCTTCTGTTATATGTACTGGTCTGTATTTAACAGGTGGTGTAGTCGTTCCGTGGAGTTGCTTTTGACGTTCAAGAATCTCGGAAGCGAGATGTCTCGCTGCTTCATCGATGTTCTTGTTTTCTTTTGCCGATGTATAAAACCTTGAGAATGCAAAGACAAAAGTATAAATTTTTTTGATCAACAACTCTTCGACCAACTAACTAGTCGTATTGAAACAACAACCGCCTTATCACAGCCTCTTTATTTTGAAGCAGTCAACGTACCATTTACAGAATCCATGGTCTTCGCAAAACTTGTTCAGGTCTGATTCTGCTTTGCGGATTTTGTCTTCTGTCAGAAGATCGCACTAAAAAAAAAATGGTTGGGTGGTTAGCGATAAATGTACCAAGTTATGAAGAACGCAAGCCACCACAAACGTGGCCGTCACTTACCTTATTAGCCAACAGGACGACAGGAATGGGGCCCCCACCCAAAACCTCAGGTAATGCGACCTTTTCATCCAAGTCTTTCTTCCATTTTGTAACAGACTCGAACGTTGGTGGTCGTGATATGTCGTAGACAACGAGTGCACCCAAGGCTTCTTTGTAGTACACCTGTGTGATTAATTAATTGCATGTTGTGTGTGAGGGAACAATATATCATGTGTAATGTTTTTCAGTTTGCGTAATCTTAATGTATCCGCTTAATTTCACATACCCTTGTCATGCTTCCAAATCGTTCTTGTCCGGCAATGTCCCATAATTGTAATCTTATCGTGGTGTTGTCGTCGTAGTTGAGAACTTTCAAGGCAAAGTCGACACCGATCTAAATATAACAAAGGTGCAATGCATTTGTTAATGGTTATACTGTAACTGTAATGTTGCACTAAGTTTATAATTTATACTATCACAATAATATTCTACCAGCCACGTAATTTCCTTTTCCCAAATAATACATATAACCCCCGTTTGATGACGTAATGATGTAACATTATACAACATGTGACCAAATACGCCGAATGATGAACGGGCCACAGCTGTTTCCTGTTTGACGTCTTGAGGGCATACTGTCTGAAATTGTTGTTTCGTTTGTGGAGAGGGGAGGGGAGTGCTGACATAACTTGGGAAAACTAAAATCAACGCAATTACCACTTGCCTTGCTCGAAAGGGAACAGGTAGCATGTTCCGCTTGTCATGATTTTTATTACGGAAATTGTGGCTTTGTGATTATGAGAGGCATTTGTCCATGCGGAAGTTTGGCCAAACAGGAATGATGGTAGAAATTGTAGACACATTTGTTCCGCACTGTTCTCCAACCATTTCCAAACTCACCGTGCTCTTAGTATGCATTGAACTTGTATTATTTACATAACTCTTCACAATACTTGTTTTTCCTGTTGCAGAGTCACCGACTACGAGTATTTTATAGAGGTATTCTGTCTTGAGTGTTCGGCTGCTCGAACGTGAACGGGAGTGTGCAGACTAGAGAACATGGGATAATTGTATCAACCAATTGTGAAAGAAATAAAAAAAAGAAAGAAAAAAAAAAGAGTCGCTTAGTCGCTTAATAGAATGTATATAATACCATGTTTGTTGTATTTTGTTGATGTGTGTATGTTCGCTTATGCGTTGTCACGAATTTCAGTTTCAACAAATGTGTCGGGTTGTTTCATTTATATGTTTTTTCGAATGATGGAACATGTGAATGACAATATAGTTTTAATATAATATGGGTACTTTATACGTTGACGTCATTTAAATGACATGTTGAACAGTTCATTGTGTATATTAATTAGAACAGTTACTGTATTTCCCTATCGGTGTGTTATTGGCGTATCAACGACGCCTTACTTGTTGATCGACGTTGTAGTTTACGCTTATCAATGACAGATAATAATATTAAATATGCAAGCTTTTGAAAGACATGAAACCTCGAGGATAACGATTGTTCAGATTACTACGAATGTCCATTAATCAAATAATGACAGAGAACCAAATACGAACATTTTAGTCAGATTGGGCTAAGCTTAAACAAAGGAATTTGATATGCAATACAATAGCACGGAAATGTCGGAAAAAGGTTTTTCATATTTGATCCACAGACACGGAGAAAAGCAACGATGTTTATCTAAAAGGTTTTGGAATTTGCATTCCTTTCGCCCATGGTGAAATGACAAGTTCACACAAACGGGGGAAAAAAAACGCCCGATATATTGGAGATAACCGACAAAGGATTTAGGAATATTCTCAAAGAACGTCTTTGAGGAAAGAAATACCGACGGGAATGAAAACCGTACGGTAACGCCCTACCATGCAAATGTACAGTGTATCATGTGTGTCCAGTCAATACAGTTTGCTTTACCCCCTCTCGCTCTCTCCTTACTTTTCAACTCCTTACGAATGATTCGGAAAAAAAAAACAAACATTTTCTCAACCCCTTCTTCATCCCCTTGCTCAACGTTTTCTGTATAATCTCTAACCACTCTGGTTTACTCTACGGAATAAAAAATCAAGAATTTAGCCTTGCCTTGTCAACAAAAAAGTTGACTTTGGGTTAAGTTAATTAAAAAAGTATTTCGTATCAAACCACATACTGTGTGATCAGCATATTCTTGTGAAACCGCCCTGCAGCTTTGACCAAATTGGTAACAGGAAAAAAAAAACTTTTTTAATAATAACGATAAGACTGAGACTAAATAAGGTTTGATGGCTTTTTTACTCATGGACACACAGTTGTTATTTTTTTTTTTTGCTTTGGGCCTGTTATTATTATCGCTTATTAGTATCAAAGCGTTTGTATGACGTTGAGACTCTGAAAACTGTAAATTATCGTGTGCATAAAGTGTCAGGTGAGTATAGCTTATTTCAAAAAAGAAGTTCTTGGTAGACAGAAAATGTACCAATGATTGCTATGCTTACTACTAAATATAGGATAAATATCACAGCACGAGGCTTTGAATGAAGGAAAATACTGACTAACTGTTTATGTACACTGACTAACATGTGTGCATGATTCAGCCATTATCATTATAGTCAACGCAACGGGGAATTCGCGATAACAAGCAGTCGACCCGCCAATCAGGTCGTATTGAATTGGTCGTAATCGGTCGTAATCGGTCGTAATCGGTCGTAATCGCTTGTGTCACCGCTTTCCTTTATCTCTCAAAAGTTTTGGTTGCTTGTTTTCGCGACCAAACCTTATGCGATGTTGGAAGTTTAGAATCGGCGCTCTTATCCTCATCGTTCCTTCGTTCTTTCAATTATATCAATTATGCAATTTTCCCTCGTGTCAATGCCCTGATACAATAAAAGGAATAGCGCACACACCACCTGAATGATAACAATGATAACAATGTAATATAATCTTATCTACAATAGTCAAACAAGCGTTGTTATAGCCGAACAGATGGACAGTGGACTATATGGAGCGCCCAGCTCATGTTAAATGCTAGCAATATGATAAACAATATTAACGAATACTTTTGCAACAATATCTCCATTCACCATGCATAAACATACAATGGAAGTTGTTGCAGATCGATCTATTATAAACGAATGCCAGGGTATGAAACTGTTATCGTTTTATCTTTCTGTATCAGCACTTAGCCTCTACCCCTATGTGAAAGATAAAAGTGGAGTAATTCCTGTACATCGACATCATGAAAGAAACCAGAACGGAACTTGGTTACACACGAGGTTTGGTAAGTGCATAATTAGTCAGGTTCGCTTGCATGGTACTTTCCACAGACGGTGAGAATAAAAAATGTTTAGTCAAAGCTAACCAAAAAGTTTATTCCATACTACAGGGATGATGCTGACCAGTAGGTAATTTCTAGTTGATCTCAACTTCAAGCTCAAAACTATAGACAGGGAATATACCGGATTTGGGATGATCACCCATTGCAGGTCAGGTATAAAGGATCATGTTCTAGATTCCCTTCCATCGATTGCCGATATGGTAGTTGGTCATAGTTGTATGTTAAGCCTTTTCTATCTGTGGTTGTTGAACTGACAACTTTATTGTTAATGAACCAATCGGAATAGGGTTTGACTACTATAAAACAGATCACCACACAAAAGGAAACTACCAAGAAGATAACTACAGTGTCATTATATTGAACAGTGTTGATCATTGCAAGACTACTTCTTTCTGTGATAATATGATGACTAAAGCATTGTTGCTTTGCAACGATTGGATTTACAAGAAAGAGGATTACTTATACGCTATGATGAACAAATTTCCTTTCTATGATCAGCAGAACCAGATAGTCAATTAGATTTCATGCTCTGAAACGTACAAATAATATACATGTCATGATCGATAATAAAGACTGAACTTTTTATAACGAGAATAATTCGGCTTTTTAATTGTCCGCAAAGGTTTGTTTTTGGGTTAGTTATGAAATGGTTCGGATATGAAGTCAAGGCTAGCTATCAAAATTTAAATTGTCTATTTCAAGATCGTTTAAACAAGGGTAACCACGTTTGGTTCTAAAGTTTAAGAATGGGTTTTCACTAATTATTGTGTTTATCGAGTGTGCTTATCTGGAGGAAGCTTTAAACGAAAAAAAAATTATGATTTACTGTTATGATTACGTGTGTTTGGACAATTACCCAACAATTTTGCGACACGAACACGCACACGCACAAATAACGTCATTTTATAATATCAACGTTTGATTGACGAGTTTTTTTTATTGCACAGATTATTCTCTCTTTCTTGTTGTTGAAAGATTTCTTTACAATCTGCATTTATAGGGAGTGAAATACTTAATGGAAGACCCATATTAATATGTAGTAATACATTAAAAATCGCATTAACTTTGATTGCTTAATTTATGCAACTAAACTGCTCAAGGCGTTGGAACTGGCTTTATGAATTGATAAAAAAAAAAAAGGTTATCTGAAATCAATATGAATATGAATATGAAAGCTAATTATCCGCTAAATTCGATGTAACGTTTTACGCAGTTTGCGAGGCAAGTGCATCACGTGCTAACAGTAGAGACGAGGGGATTATTTTTAACACACTACACAAATTTCAATGTGTCAAATGTGTCAGTGCCCAAGGCAGAGCTATCTCAATTCTTAAAAATTTACGCAAGTAGATAAATACGCGCAATGAAGTCAAATTGTAACACAGACAAAAAACTTTACCTCTTATCGTCTACTTTCACTCCGTTCCTCGCAAGCGTACTTGTTTAATCATTTTTTGCGCGATTAAATATCTCTTTGTTGAACGGGAAATGAAGAAAATAAATAATGCACGGTTATAATGTGTAAAAAACTGACCTCACTATTATGGATGTTGTGTCTGAGTTTGAAACCTGTCTCAGTTCAGAACCCAGTCGCTCGGTCCAGAACTCAGTTGTCTCGGTTCCGAACCCAGATACGAACTGACCAAAGATTTTATTTCATTGGTTTTGAGCAACAAATCCAGAGAGAAAATAAGCTTACTTAGGAACAGAACAACTATGCGAAAATTTATTTTTTACTCGAGTATGACTTTGCTCAACCGATTGACTAACGCAAAACAATTATTTAAAACTTTGATTCGATAGATGTTTTAATGTTGGTTTGAACGAGCTAATTGTTTTACACTGCTCAATGCAAAATGCTTATCCAGAATTTACCGAAAATTTGCGGACAAGTTTACCTTTTTTTGAGCATTTGGAAATAATTCTGTGTTCAATGACGGGGAATAAATCATGCTCAATTTTTGTCTTGTTTCGATGAATAGTCACGATAATGAGGATACAATAAAACTTTGATACTTTCTCTCAATCGATCAAGATTTTTGTAACAGTGGCGATTATGGCGTAGGTTCGTTTAATTGTTATTGGCCATCCAAATGAAAAGTTTTCTTTCGCACAATCTGAGTTTTTATTAATAGGTTTTTAGTATCAAATATTAATATCCTTAATCGATAGAAGGATTAGTAATTCGTGCTTTACCAAAATATTAAAAAACTACTCGTTTATTGGATATTGAAACATAAGAGCCGACCAAAACTCAGAAAAGAAACCACTACCATCCATCATATGATAGTAATTCTCTGTTCCCTTGTGCAAGAAGTAGTGGAAGACGTAAAGAAATAGTTGGATTATATGAAGATAAATTAGATGTCCATTCAAATAGGCGGGACAATGAATCGTTAACTAACACAAGCTATTGCTTTCTAAACTGGTTTACCAGGTGGTTCTACTTTTGTCTCTACTATTGGACGGGTGCGAATTTGGATAAGTTACCAATGACGCCCCTCCTACTCTTCGTTGTTCCCAATGCTCGCCTGCGGTGAAGAGATCCTGGCACGGGTCTGACGAGTGGGTCTTCCCTGACGGTTTGCTGAGTGATCAGATCCAATGGGACATTGGTGGACGTGGAAAGAGTTTGAGGGATCGATTGGTGATTACTTAGCCATTCGTGAAGAATCTGTCCCAGAAGCTGGTTAGAGATGAAAGGTGAGATTGCGCTCGGCACGCTGCAATAGCTATTGATTAAATATCCACCTGTTATAATTTAATCCGTAACTGTAGTTATATTAACTCATGCGCAGAAGAAAGAGATCTATACTTTACTTTCTCAAAAGCCCGGAATTAAGCAAAACACAGCATCATATACAGTCAAACATCGATATAGTCAAGTCGACGGGACGGGGATTTTTCTTTACTATATCGAAACTTCACTATACCGAGAATTTTTGATATAGTAAAGTTTATATATAAGTGGCATAAATCCTATATTGCGACTGCAAATCTTATAGCAAACTACTCAAACGTTATTTCTACTGACGAATCTAATACTGCTGAACGATTTATATGAATGTACTGATACTGAGTTGTTTAACGTAGCAAGTGTCATACCGTTCAATTATGTAGTAACATCTTAAGGTTTCATAATTTATTAATTCTCATATTAATTAGTCAATGTTTGTGAACAAACAGCCTCTTCTAACTGAGGATGCTTTCCAGTTCTTTGTCGCTTCATGATAGCCTTATTAGTATTAAGATCAAGTGACAACCATCTTACCTTATCACGCACAATCTTTGAAACGGCTGCCTCGGAAATATCGAGCTATTGTAACTTGGCTAACACCTCGCTCTTTTAAACGACATATTTCAGCTTTCTGGACACCGGATAAACTTCTTCTCTCTGAATTGGCTTTTTTTTGTAGCGTCTCTGTTTCAGCTTCATGCTCTCTCTCTTAAATTTTAATCAACACGTGTTTGTATTATGATTGGTCAAAACCCATCAGGTGGTACAATCTTTACTATATCGAGACGCAATCTACTAATATTGTTTGAGAAAAAACTTGATTAACGAGACTTACTATATAACTTCACTATATCGAGGGAAAATTTAATAATACTGTTTTTGTGTCAGAGGAATTCTTTACTATAGCGCGCACTGTATCGAGACTTGACTATATCGAGGTTTGACTGTATATGGAATAAACGGGACAAGTGGTTGGCCACTAAATTTACATCAAAAAGAAAAAGAGAACGTAAACCGCAATACTCGATTTCAGGCGTCGTAGTTCCTGACAACATCTACGTTTGTCAGGAAGATCTCAATAACATTTGTTCACATAAAGGGATACTACCCTTCGATCAGGTATGATGTCTTTGTAAGTTATTAACGAACTAAATTCACTTTGTAGATGATAATAATAATAATAACATTACTTTGATTGCCCCGATAGGATAAAAAACGTCTTAACCCGTGGATTTCGCAAGGTTGGACGCGGTTATTTTTACGATTTTCTACAAACTGTAGACATTCACTAACTGTCTCATAAACAGGGCCGAATTACTGTAAAGAACAGATCTCGATTTGGCGTAGAAAATACCTGGCCGAGTCTGCGATATAGCTGTTTGTGTTCCGAGCCAGTTTGGCATCAGTTGCACTCGACGTAAGCCATCAAGCGTTGTTGAGCTTTTGTTGTAAACTTAAATTTAATATTAGTAGTGCTTGCAGTTTCGTCGCTTACTTGTTATTAAGTACGCATATTGTTATCCGTTGTAACGATAACAACTGCTGGCATATATTATTGCAATTATTACATATTTGCATACTACTGTTTAATAACTTTACTTTTATCATTATAAATAGGCGTACCCATAGACATCAAATTTCAGAAATCAATCCATCAAATCCTACTTGTGAAAGCGGAAAAATAGGGAAATCCAGAAACGCCCGCTATGATTTCGATGTCTACCCAGATGGGTTCCGGCCGATCAAATTGCGCTCGTTGACGCATACAGTTGACACTGTACCAAACCTAACTCTGGATATAACGGACCAAAATTGTCAGATCCGATTTTTTATAATTAATAACTCTGGATATAACGAATCTCTGGTAATAGCGAACTCGGGTTATAACGAACGAAAATCTTCAGCCGGGCAGTTCGATATAAATAGTGTCAACTGTATTGTTATATCTATGGAAGGACTGGTCCACTGTAGACCGCACTTCATAAACAACGAAATTCTCCTCGGAGTCAATGTAAATACACTGCATAATTGGCCATGGGGTTAACTAACTATTAAGCTAACTAAATTGGCTTTGTTTTAGACTTCTTAAATAGGGCTATTAAAAACCACCACAGCTCTTTTAGTCTCAAACATTAGGATTGAAAAGCGTCTTTGAGGAAAACGGGGATATTGAAATTAAAGAAACACTCATTTGGAAATACAATACGTCGTTTGAACCTTTACCGAATCTACCCGATCAAATACGCTCTAGGTTTGAGGGAACAATGCCTATAATAAATTTATTAATAAAAAGGCATAAAAGATTCGATTGTGCACGCATTTAAACCAGCTATGCCCTAAAAAAGTAAATCTTCTGTCTGTTGCAATTTTTCCAACCCCAAATTGACACGGTTTCGTTTTCTAGGAGTCATGAGACTTACCCTGAGATTGAAGAGGCTTATTAGGGTGTTAAACGAAATTTTCAAGCTTTATTATTTACGCAGATAAACCAACAAATTACGAATAAAACTATCAATGGACGATTTTATATAAGACTGAATATGGTATCTAGATTTATAACGATCGAACATCTCGACCCCTAAAAGAGTAACAAAGTGTTTTGTCTTTTGCTTAATATTAAGGAGATCAACAGTAACAGTGATATTCTCATATATTATTAGTGAAAAAGAAAAAAAACGATCTACCGACTACGATATATGCTCCACCGATAAATTTTGGCGGAACAAATATCGATATAACGAGGTTTGACTGTAGTGAGCATTAACTATTGCAAATAGTAATAGTGAAAGAATATTGATATATTATATGACAGTTTATAAAACATACCAGAAAATGAGTTATCTTTAGTTAAAATATCATGAAAATTGGTTGAATAAGTTATAAGGCTTAAATTCAATAGTTGTAAACATAGAGTTGGTTTTGTAAGTCACTGTCCTATGGCCTTTGATGGAATTAACTAGTTCTAACAATTTTGACAATTTAAATGACAGATTTTCTTGCATTACTGTAACATGTGATTTATTTGTATTCATTATTATTATATAATTATTACCAGTTTAACATTATCAATAAATTACACAAATTATCAAGCTTGCAAGTAACTCAGGGGCCTTCATTATCATGGCTACAGTTTACCAACTATAAAAAAAACCACTTGCTTCTTATTCTAAGATCAATTTGTTCCTTTTTGGGCTGGATAAATTTTGGCTAATTCTTGAATCTTCCTTTTCAGTTCAGATTTACTATTATATTTAAAAAAATAAACCTTATTTTGTGCCTTAATGTACCCTTGCTCAGCAGCTTTTTCATATAATTCAATAGCTTTCTTTTCATCTTGTTTTACTCCAACTCCCTCCTCATAACACCAACCAAGATTATATTGTCCATATGCATGTTTTTGATTAGATGCTTTTTGGAACAATTCAATAGCCTTTTGAATATCTCTTTCTACTCCAATTCCATTTTTGTAACATAAACCAAGGCTAGTGTATGCAGAAACATTTTCTTGCTCAACTGCTTTTTGATACAATTCAACTGCTTTTTGAACATTTTTATCTACACCAATTCCTTTTTCATAAGACAAACCAAGATTGTTTTGTGCAGCAGAGTTTCCTTGCATAGCTGCTTTTTGATATAATTCAAAAGCTTTCTGATAATCTGCTTTCATGCTAATACTTGTTCTATATAAATAACCAAGCTTGAATTGTGCATCAGCAACACCTTGTTCAGCTAATTCCTGATACCACTCAACTGCTTTTTGTTCATCTTTTCTCACTCCAGTTCCATACTGATAACACATACCAAGATTACATTTTGCAGCACATTCAGCTGCTTTTTGTACTTGATGCAATTCAACTGCCTTTTGTATTTGTTTATCTTTTTCTACTCCAGCTCCATACTCATAACACATACCAAGATTATTTTGTGCAGTAGCATTTCCTTGTTCAGCTGCTTTTTGATACCATTCAACTGCCTTTTGTTCATCTTTTCTACTCCAGTTCCATATTGATAACACCAGCCAAGATTATTTTGTGCACTGGCATTTCCTTGATTGGCTGCTTTTTGATACCATTCAACTGCCTTTTGTTCATCTTTTTCTACTCCAGTTCCATACTGATAACACCAACCAAGATTATATTGTGCACTGGCATTTCCTTGTTCAACTGCTTTTTGATACAATTCAACTGCCTTTTGTTTATCTTTTTCTCCTTGTTCAGTGGCTGCATTTTCACATGCTTTGAAACAAGCATCATATAGAACATTTTTTTCTGGTTTATCCTCAAAGATTATAGAAGTCATGTTTATTATTATTATGTCTGTGTCAGGATCGAGGCCTAAAGTACGACATATTCCTCATACTCAGTGATTTCCGCTCCGTCACACGGATTCCGCAACATAGCACAGTTGTCTACCAGATCGAGCTAAAAATCTGGACAGACGCACAAACTATTCCGTTAAATCTGGACAACTAAAATTAGATTGTCCCGTTATATCCAATTTTCTGAACAATCCAATGACAATTTAGTGAAACTATAAATACGAGTCGTAGCTAAAAATCATCGTTCCGATCACATCATTCAAGTCATATCTTCAGCAAGACGTTGCTAATAGAATAGTTCTCTTTATTCTAATAAAAATCCGATTCAAATATAATTAATTCGTTTATTCCCTGATAAATGATACTTGCGAAGTGTTAAAAACGCCTTCCCCGTCAGCGGTGAATAGAATTAATCCTTGCCAATTAATTCTATTTAGTACTTTTGCATTCAGGATTATTGTTTAATTATTACTAGTAGTTTTAGATAAGATAAATTCCCGTTTCGATAGGCTTTGAGATTAATCCCATCCAAGAAATCGTAGAGATACTCGAGGTTACACAATAATCCAGGGACAGCCAGCGTATACAGACCGATAATATACAGATCGTGAGTATAAAACCTAGTTAAATGTTGTACAACGTTAGTTCAGTAATACGGTAATCCGTTCTCACTGTAAAAAGCCCTAAAAGATACGTAAAAAATTTTTAGTAGGGAATTCTGTCACCATTTCTTTATGACTAGCTCACATAGACCGACTAAATTAATTACTGTTTCAGTAGGGCTTGCTTCCAATTCCTCAGTTAAAAATTGCTTCAAATGTTCGATATTTTGCCACAAGTTCTCAGGTCGGGACTATTCGTCGGCCAGTCAATTGCCTTAATCCTATTCGGGCAATAAATTCTTTTGTGCTTGGGTCATTTATCTGTTACAAACACCAGTTATTACCGTACATGTTCCGTGCAGGTTTGCAGGATGTTGACATAAAATGGCGAGTTACGTAAATTATCGAATTTTGACAGGTTTGATTCAAAGACCCAATAGACGAGATATCCGTCTGAACAGCTTCCTCATACTCGTCGCAGTTTGGACTTTTTTTTACAGACAGTGTGACATCTGCAGCTTCCCGGATTGGGACTTCTGTAAAATGCTTCAAATCGTCTTTCGTCTTCCTGTAAGCGTACGGCCTGCAAGCAAGAGAATACTGTCACTCCCAAATGTCGTAGCAGATCAGATGATTTGTGGCTCAGAATGTGACGCACAGATGCATGTCATTATGTAACACAAACTGCCTCACTTGTCGACCCTTGCATTAAAAAACAGCGAATATTATTATCGTTTGTATTGATTTCGCGCCTACAAGTGAAAATTTTCAATATGGCAACACCGGAGGAAGACTTCTCCGCCCTGCCGCTTACTGAGCGTGTCAAACATAAAGTTGGTGTTCCTTCTTGTTTAGAAAAGCCACGGATGTTTGAATTGCTTCGCTTGTTTAATCACATTCGCCGATTGTTAGGTATGGAAGGCTCGGGTTAGTGCATACGAAGAATTAACCAAACTCTGGGAAACGAGTGAAGCCGAGAACGATTTCAAGACATACGAAGGTGTTCTGAAAAACATTGCAACAGACGCGAACGCCGTAGCACAAGAAACTGGCTTAACCGCGTTGCTGGCTTTTGTCCAAAATGCCCCAAATCCTACAAGGTACAGTCCCTCTGGCATTCCAATACACGGGTCGCGTCTCATCGCATAACACATTATTAACATTATACGAAAGAAGCGTCTATTAGTATTTTGTGTGTTCGGTATTTATTACATTAACAAGTTTATCTGTTCATGTTTGTCGTCAATTGACTATTGCAGAGCAAGAAGTTCTGTGGTGCCTGCTGTTGTGGAAAAAGGCTTTGGTTCGGCTCGTGCAGGCACAAAAAGAAAAGCTGTCAACGTAATATTAATGTTTATAGAAGTTGATGTTCCCGATCCTGTTGTGGTATGTTGTGTCGCTTATTTCGTTATCATTCTCTTTCAGACAAGTGAGTAATTCATCATGTATTGCTTGCAGGAAGATGTAATAAACGGCTTAAATGCCAAACAACCGAAACTAGTCGCTACTACTGTATCCGCCTTAAAGGAAATAATAAGGTGTGTTTCAGTCTTACATTTGTTTCGCTTTTGCAATGTGTCGTAGTTTTTTTCTACCAAACGATCTGATCAAAGCGTATTATGAAAGCAACTATGGAGCAAAGACTGTCAACGTCAAACCAATACTAAAGACTCTTCCGAAAATATTCGGTCATACAGATAAAGCCGTGAGGACGGAGGTAGGTTTAATGTATTTTCGGATTATTAAAAACCAAGCATAGAATATATTCTCATATTGCATTCTCTTCAGGGAACACAACTTGTGATAGAATTGTATAAATGGTTGGGCCAAGCAATCAATCCACACTTACAAGAGTTAAAGCCTGTGCAGGTACTTATGCGCTTAACTGCTTACGGATTTAATTTCGATATAACTAAAAGAAGAACCGACAATAGGTTAAAGAATTGAATGAGGCCTTTGAGAAGTTACCTCCCGAAAAGCCCAAACAACTACGATTACTTAGGTCACAAGCTGCGGCCGCGGCCGAGGCAGAAGCTGAAGGTTCGTTGCTACCAACCTAATTTGGCGCCTTAATTTTCGACAATTTCGATTAACCAATAATATGATTTCTAGCGCAAGAGGAAGAAGCTGAAGAGGAAAAGGAAATTGATGCATTTGATTTGGCCGAACCTGTCGATGTTTTGGGGAAAATGGCCAAAGACTTTTACACAAAATTGGTAAGTTGTGTCTTGGAAGGTTTAATTATACGTAACAGTTTTGATTTGAACTTGATAACAATTTAGGGCTCTACAAAATGGAAAGAACGGAAGGAGGCACTGGATGGTCTGCTTGAAATATGCAATACTCCTAGAATAGCTGATGGTAACTTCTCGGACCTCGTTACTGCTCTTGCAAAGGTATGTCGACAAACCAAGAGAGATACAAATATAAATAGCATTATCTTCAAGATTTGACCTTACTAATTATTGCGTTTCAATAGAGAATGAGCGATTCCAATATTATCGTGGTATCACTTGCAGCAAATATAATAGAGATTTTGGCAAAAGGCTTACGCAATGAGTTTGCTAAATACAAATCAATAGTAAGTTTCCGAATGCATATGGTTGTAAATAGTATCAGTATACGTTAATGACGGCTTCGTCTCAGGTCGTAGGGCCTATCGTAGAAAAATTGAAAGAGAAAAAAAAAAATGTATCCGATACACTAGCGAAGGCACTTGACGCAGTCTTCGTGACCGTAAGTTTCGCACACGCGCAGAAAATTTAATTGCTGTTTAGTCTTCAGTTCATATAAAGTATTTGCTTCATTTAAGGTCACGCTATCTGACGTTGTGGAGGAAATAGTAGCTGCGGGTAAACACAAGAATCCCCAAGTAAAATCAGAATCAATTAAATGGCTTGTACGGTGTCTGAAGATTACAAAAGTTGCCCCAAATAAAACCGAAACCAAAGCTCTTTCTGAAATGATGGTGAAAGCCTGCGAGGACAGCGCGGAGCCGGTTCGTGTTGCCGCAATGGAAGGTTTAGGAACTATGATGAAAATTGTCGGAGACAAAGCAATGATACCATTTCTGGAGGGGCTTGATGAGATAAAAAAAGGAAAAGCAAAGGAATTTTGCGAAAAAGCTGAAGTTAAGGTCAAAGCAACTACTGTCAAACGACCCACTCCTGCACCAGCCGCTGCAGAAAAACCCAAGCCAAAGACGACCAAATCGCCTGTAAGTACTATTATAAAGTTCAATGTCTTATAGATCGTATAAAGCTTATGCATTCTACATTACAGAATGGCCCTCCAAAAAAGAAAGCCGAGGCTGCATCAGCACCTACCAAATCAGCACCATCGGGTCCGCCAAAGAAATCCGTGAAAACTGCAAAGCCGGCTGCTGCTGCTGCGCCACCACCTCCGAAAAAAGGTGGTAAGGCAAAAGAAGAAGAGCCTGTTAAATACAAATACTCTGATGAAGATGTTGAGGCGACGTTTGGCGAAATTGTACCTTCTAGCGAAACTGACGGAATAAGCGACAAACAATGGAAGATTAGATTAGCAGGTACTTTTTCAGATTCTGAAATAAATATTACTATTAAACTTATTCTGATATTGAGGTGGATTTTTTCAGCAATCACATCATTACGCCAGACTTTGGATTCAATGGATCCCGCAGAAGTTGATCCCGAGTTGGTTGTTCGTTTCTTGAGAAAAAAGCCTGGTTGGAAAGAAAGCAATTATCAGGTAAGTCTTGGTGCGTTTTGCCTTATGATCCAATGGGTTGCTCATATACTGTGTTGTCAAATCACAAGGTCATGACTGAGGCCTTTGGCGTAATGCAAATGTTTTCGGATAAATCAACCTCGTTTTCTAAACCAGCAGCTTCTCTTGCAATTCCCAGTAAGATATTTGTACATAAATTAATGTATTATTTATTCAAGTTTATATATTAATTATTTGTTTTCTGAAAGTATTGGCTGAAAAACTTGGTGATATCAAACTCAAGAAACCAGCTGGTGAATGTCTAACCAGCTTTGCCGAGAAAACATCAATTCAATTTGTACTTGCACAAGGTATTGCAGTCGCTCCCCTCTGAATGAAAAAAATTCTCTGGTATTTAAATTATCGATAATATTGTAGCGTATGAGCCATTACGAAAGGCAAAGTCACCTAAGACGATAGCAGACGGTCTCACGTGGATTCATAGTGCAATCATGGAATTCGGTATTGCCGGTTTGCAAGTCCGCGACCTGATTGATTTTCTTAAATTTACTCTCAGCAACACAAATGCGGCTGTTCGTGCAAATTCTGTGACAGTTTTGGGTGCTCTACGAATTTATGTTGGCCCTGGTGAGAAGCGCAATTGTCAATGTTTTTTTGTCAAGTCGAAATTCTCTAACTTTTGTTGTTGTATCTTTAGGTGTTCGAACTTTTATTCAGGATTTAAATCCAACACAATTAGCCACAATCGATGCCGAGTTTGAGAAGGTTGCTGATCAAGCACCGCCTCAGCCGACAAAATCTAGCGTAAGTTTTACGAATATTTTAGTCAAGAGCCAGCTGCATTATTTTCCAAGAGTAACATTGGTATTAGTAGTAACTATTGGACAGTACATCAGCTACATATTTCATAGAAGAGTTAGTTATGACGATCGAGATTTGATTTAAAATTAATCTATTTAACAGGTCGAAGCCAAAAGTTCTGGCGATGCATTAGACGAACTATTTCCCAAAGTCGATCTTGGAGCACTTATTACCAGCAAAATAATTGCGGTAAGTACATATTGAATGAATCGAGTCGTCAGTAACATATTTAAAGATCAACTTGATTATTATATGCGTAGGATTGTCACAGCGACAAATGGAAAACGAGAAAAGAGGGTATGGATCAAGTCAAAGCATTAGTCGATGCTAACCAGCGACTTAAACCAAATTTAGGTATATATATACTGTATTGTATACTCATTGAATTGCTGATTGTTGATTTAACAATTTTTCGGGGCGGGGTTTTTTTAAGGTGATTTTCCGGCTGCCTTGAAGGCGCGATTAGCTGATAGTAATAAAAATCTGCAGATGATGGCGCTAGAGATTTGCGGAAAGATATCTACAGCAATGGGCAAACCTTTCGATAGATATGTGAAAATTTTTGTAGGACCAGTTACTAATGTCCTTACAGATCAAAAAGCAACTGTTCGCGGCAGTGCTATCGGCACTCTCGATGCAATGGCAAGTGCTTGTGGGCTTGATCCTCTCGTTTCATCTCTTGCTACTAGTCTAGCAAATGAAAATCCACTTTTACGAAAGGATCTATTAAACTGGCTTTCAGAACGTCTTAAAGACATCGAAGACAAGAAAAAGTCTCCAGACTTGTCACCGCTAATAACACCAATGTTGTCTTGTTTATCTGATCGTAATGGAGACGTTCGTAAGGCTGCGCAGGCTTGTTTAGGACCAATAATCAATAGTGCTGGTTACGATCATGTAGTTCAGAAGTGCGGCGATTTGAAAGGTGCGATAAAACAACAGATTATGCCAATGATTGAAGCAGCACGTCCTGTTAGTGGAGGTGCCAGCAAAGGTAAGGACATTGGAAAAAGACCTGGCCCAAAAAGCCGGCTTGGCGGACCGTCAGGCGGAAGTTCTGGAAAAGTCGGCCGGGAAGAAGATGAAGAGGAGGAAGAGGAAGATGACGAAGAAATGCCACCTGCATTACCAACGTTACCAGTAAGACGTATTCCCGGATTTGGTAGAGGGAGTCAGATTGGTTTGGGTAGAGGGGCTCCTGCTGGGGGATTCAATTCATCTTCTATTCCTAATGGGAACGGAGAAACTGCGGAACATGAATCGCCATCTACATCAAGTTTGCCAACATTTGCTCATGGAAGTAACTTGCCAAGTGCTCCAAGAGGATTGCAACCACCATCCGGTATTGGACGAGGTTTGCCTCCACCGAGCCGTCTACAGTTCTCGCGTCTACGGAAGCCTGGCAATACTCTAAATGGACAATCGAATTCTGCCCCTGCTAGTGAAGCCGGGTCTAATAAAGATGTTGTGCCTATGGACATTGATCAACCAGATCATATTGCACCTACCGCTATGGAAGCCCCGTCGAGGAGTGGTATTCCTGGACCATTTTCTAGCAAACTGCGTGCGGTGCCTCCCGAAAGATCACCCGAGATTAGAATGGACTATATTATTAATAGAATATTAAATGCTGATCCTCAGCAAAGTATCGAAGCGTTAAAGGACTTTGACAAAGAATTAAACAATTCTTCTGCAAAAGTTGCTGGTCATGTTGACGAGCTGGTTAATGCTCTCGCTCTTCAAATCCGCTTTTCTTATACGAAACTTGAACCACAATCACATACCCTCATTAGGTTATGCAAACACTTAGTCAATGCATTGGTTTTGTTATTTTCGAACAAGGAACTTGCGGTATCAGTCTCTCAAGAATATTTGACAAGGCTTTTGCAAGAACTAGCACACCGGCTATTGGATCCAAATTTACAAGTTCTGGAATGTGGACAGCAATTATCGAAAGCTCTTAATGTAGCAATGGTCAAAGTACTCGAGAATAGCGACAGAAATGCAACGTATAGGCAAGTATATATTATATAACCCGAAGCTGTTGGACGTTGATGGCATTAAACTTTAACACTTTTTCTCTCCCATTCGAACCCGTTCCAGTGCGTTGATTTTGATACTTGAAACATCGTCTGCCAATCTACGTGACGTAGAAGATTCCGCATCTAGTGCTCAAGTAAAATTTACTGAATTAATAATGAAATGTCTGTGGAAATTGGCGAAGACCGTACAGGAGAATTTGAAGGCCGGGGTTCTCAAACCCAACATGTTACTTCGTGACCTAAACAATTTCTTCTTGGTAACTCCACCTGCAGAATGGAAACGAAGAGCTACTGAGAAAGTTCCTTTAGGCGAGATGCCTCTTCGCACTGTGAAGACATTATTGCTTGAATTGGTGACAGGACTGGGTGATGGTGTATATGATCATTTGGATCTTATAGAAGATCCACAAAGAAGCTATGTCTATCCTTATCTGCATCATATGCTTGAAGCTCATAGGAAGAAAGCTGGTCAACAACAACTTCCTCAACAAAACTACTCTCAACATCAGCAACACTTTAATCAACATATTTCTCAGCAACAACAGCCAACACATGTATGGTTTTTCAATATAGTTGTATTGCAAAAGAATTTATCATTTATCTTACATTAAATTTTTTAAAATACAGAGTCGAGGTACGTCTATTTCATCCATACGATCGATTACTTCGATCGGATCAGATTCTAGCTATCCAGACAATGACTCTACACACGGCTCTCCGGCGATGGAACAAGACATTCAGGAATCAACAGTGAGAGAACCTCCACTGCGAGAAATGCCTAAACGCGAGATTCCTTTCAATGGCTCTGAATCTATGAGTCCGACTTCGCCACGGACGCCAATGTCACCCCGCTTTCCAACGCTAGCAGGGAGCATCCGCACGTCTGGGTCTCATGAATTAGAAGTGAACACTCAATTAACTCGCATTTTTCAAAAGATCGGCACACCACGAGAGTCTAGGAAGGTTAGTGAAGGGTATTAATTACTACACTTTTGAGTAACTGAGATGATTAATTACTTCTGCTGTAATAGGGTATTCAAGAACTGTATGAATTCCAGAAAGAGCACCCTGAAATGGAAAGTAAAATATCAGCACAATTAGAAACAACCAGCTTCTATTTTCAGAGTTATATACGACGTGGGCTATCTAATATTGCTACGGAGGAGGAAGAGAAACATAGAGCTAGCATGATTGCAGAAGCTAGGAATGTTTGTAAGTACTGTTTCAATGTTACATACAATTGTCAAAAGCGGGTATGTAAAGAATTTTGATTGTTTTATTTTATAGTTCCGGCATCTACTGGGCGAGCAGACTCTGTTAGTCCTCCACTTGAAGGTATGAAATCAATCAATACTAAATTGAAACTTTGTTTACGAATGCACTTGATTCTTGTTTTTAACATTTTGTTTACTGACAGATGAACACAAGCAGAAGCTTTTGAAATTAGCAGAATTGTTTGGGTATCCAATGTGATTTTATTATATACTTAGACGGTGTAGTTTATTACATGTGGGTAGTATATATTATGGCTGTTTAGTATTGTGTATTATCTGTTAATTATTCTTTATAGATTGTGAGTTGGATGTTGTCATATACCATACAATAGAAGTTATTTTCAAATCGAACTGAACACGTGCCACTGCTTAAAGTTATAAAGGAATTACGAAAATGTGGTAATATTATGGAATCATAACGCCACTAGACCATTACACTGACCTAGAATTGTTATTTATTTATTAGCGTTAGTAATTAGGGTCTGTACTTTGAGCGAATTAACCTATGAAAAGAAATAAGAGATGCTTTCTTAATTAAAAAAGGGGTCCAAGTCTCATATTGTAAAGGCTAATACTAATACGCTTTCTCGGATGGAATGGTTCAGAAAAAAATATGCCCACATTGGAAGTAAATGCCGACATGAAAGAGAAACTGCCCGTTTTATGAACCGCAAATCGACTTATTAGAGAAATTGCACAAAACACGTCACTTTTTAACCCGACGAAGTTTTGTGTGCTACAACCGTCAGATCTTTCCAAAATTCCATTTTCGGTTCGAGCTTAGGAAAAAACTAATCTTTTTGAATAACCCATGAATAAATCTTCCATAAAGTCCGTGTCCAATTACACGAGTAAAACAGTGAAAGTAGTGTTCATCGCGTTATTGCTGGACATTCTTGCGTTCACTATAATATTACCCTTATTTCCACGACTTTTAGAAGAGTATAAAGCCCGAGAAGAAGGCGACGAGGTAGACGCAATAGTAATTTTAAAATGTCTATATTAATATGTATTTGTCTGACTCGGGCTCTCCATCCGTGTAGTCGACGTTACTGTCGTGGTGTCTTAGACAGATCAGACTTTTTAGAAGTATCATCGGGGGAACTACAGGCAATAATCCGAAATGGGACATTGTATTGCTGGGTGGTGCACTGGGCTCTCTCTACTCGCTACTACAATTTGTCGCTTCACCCATAATCGGGGCATTCTCTGATAAATATGGCAGACGGGCTACACTATTAGTTACAATGGTGGGTCGTATATTGGGATAATAGAGGGATTCAGTGAACAATAATTGTCATTGGTACTCAGTCTTATGTTAACACCAGATAGGAAACATACTGTCGACATGTCTTTGGGTATTTGCCAAGTCTTTTGGATGGTTTGTATGCTCGAGGATAGTCGGTGGCTTGAGTGAAGGCAACGTACAGCTGTCGATTGCGATAGTATCCGACGTGACGACACAGGAATCAAGGTCGAAAGGGCTGGTTAGTGTTTATCGCGTTACATCACCGGTATTTTTCATCTTTTCTCCCAAACTATGCCGACCACTATGATTTTTACTCCATGTCAAAATTAAGGCTCTAGTGGGCATTGCATTTGCTATTTCTTTTACAATCGGACCCGCAATCGGGGCATATTTTGCATCAAAAAATCTCGCCAAGACGTTTCCCAGTCTAGTTGAATGGGGACTGAATCCATATTCCGCCCCGGCATTTGTTGCTCTAGTATTGCTCACGGTTGAAACGCTATATCTTCATGCGTTTCTGCCAGAAACTGCCAATTTGCGGGAAGAGAAAACTGCTTCTGATGACGGGAGTACAAAGGATTCGACGAGTACCAGTAAAAGCGCGCATGAGGCTGCTGTTTTGCTGCTGCAAATGGATCGGAAGCGAGCGCAAAGGCTGAAAACTCTTCGTCTGCTAAAGCTGATTCATTTCTTGTACTTGTTTATATTCTCTGGAATGGAGTTTACTCTTACATTCTTGACGTTCGATCTGTTTGATTTTTCCAACATGCAGAATGGGATACTTCTTGGGTTTATAGGCATATTATCGGCTATTATCCAAGGTGGTTATGTTCGTCGTAAAGCTCATTCGATTGGAGAGAAGAGAATAGTCATGCAGGGAATTTCTGGGTGTGCCATTGGATTGGGTGTTATTGGTAGCATGACTCTAGGAGATAACGGGATAGGTTGGTTGTATATTGGGGCTACATTTTTAGCGTTTACCAGCGCTACTGTCGTGAATTGCCTGACGTCTTTGGCCAGTATGCAATGTGACGAGTTGGTTGAAGCAGGGCTTAAGAAAGGGCAAGCATTGGGTGAATTTCGCTCACTGGGGCAGCTTGGAAGAGCAATTGGGCCAATTGCTGCGTGTAGTTTGTATTGGATGGTCGGTAGTAAATCGTGCTATATCGTCGGGGCTGTAGCCATGTTGTTTATTTTTTCAATTTTTGCTACGTTCGTTCCGGAAGATGAAAAGATTACCGAAGCTGCGAAAAGCAAATCCGAATAACATAATACGCAGCCTATTGTAGGGAGATCTACTTTCGTTACCAATAGAAAATATAATTGAATCGCAATATGTACACTGTCAGGAATGTTTATAATTAGGTTTTTATGACAGGGTTATTTGTAGTAGTAACGTTTTTGTCTAATTATATTAATGATACTACGAGCTGTAACGAGAACGGCAATGTAGAATCAGTGACAATGATCGTATCGCCATCTTCGATTAGACTGCTAAGTTTCTTCTCTAGATTCGGTCTTGTTGATCTCTCCAGAATAGGTGGAGCTTGAAGATATATCTTTTTGTTATCTGCAGTCATTAGACTTGGCTTCTTCAATTGACTAGTAAAATAAAACATGTTGATTAAAATTAAGGATCTGGTTTCACATCAACATTTACATTAGAAAATTGTTATGCAATCAACTTACGCATCTGGTTTCTCTTTTAGCCATTCAATAAATTCTTCCACAGTCCAGTTCTTGTTTACATCAACGTTGACAGAGTTTTCCCCACACACTGGACAGTCTGGCTTCTTCTGATGTTGGAAAGTGTAGGTATATACGCCTTCATTGCCAGTGTACATCATGTAATTATCAAGATAAGGAGCGGACGTTGTAGCAATCTTGAACGCTTCATTGCAACAGGCGGCTGTGCAAAAAAAAATTTAACGAGAATGTCAACATATGGAATACAAGAGTGGAAAAACAGTGGGCAATATGCATACCCGCAATGATAGCATTTGTTGATGCAATAGCCGGAATAATGTTTTTTACAACTCCCTGAGTGAGTGAATACGTGATTCCCGCGATTTTAAATTGCCTCGCTCGTTCCAATGCTGCTTCAAATACCCACTGAATATGTTTTGGATCGTCGGTATCTAGTTTCTCGTCTAATTTGTTAAAAATATAGTTTGTAGTAAGTAACTTGACGCCGACAAACATTGATTGATATATTGATATATATTCCACGTACTTTTAAATACTTTTGGCCATTCGAGAACATAAGCCCATTCGATACAATGCTCAGGCAATCTGGGAGTATTGGCAATAGTACAGATAGGGAACGTTGTTGGTTTGTTGAGCATATCCAGGGAGCACTCGTAACATGACGTCACTGTTGGAATGATTACGCGTGCTTGACCCTTGAACCCTTCCGTTCCTCCATCAATTATCGGGATGGCTTCTCCCAACTCTTGTGATAGATTGACAATTGTAGCGTTCATCCAGCGACGAGCTTCGACCGAGTCCAGCCCACAAATAACTATTTGAAACTGCTTATAATAATCATCATCTTTATCTTGGATTTTGCCATGGTAACTGAATTCACAATTGGACGAGAGACAGTTAGAAAGACTAGAGCAGATTCGCGAACGGCTCACAGCAAAGATGTAAAAAATACCAACGGAGTAACAACCACCCCTGCTACTCGATTCTTTACAAATTCAGCAGCGACGATGGCCTTGGGTCTACCAACATCTGAAGGTCTAGGAAAGAGATTTCAGTAAATCGAATGACAAGGTCGAAGAGAGCACGTATCAATTCACGCTCACCTGAACAAGAATTGTCTATTCAAATTAGAGACATCGATTGTGTCCATGTCGATCACATGAATGTCTTTGAAACCCGAAAGCGCCAAGTTTTTTAATATCTCGCAGCCCAGACCTCCCGCTCCGATAACAAGGACTTTACATTGGGGGAGCAATGTGTTCTAAGCGTGTTCCACGCAGCAAACAAAGAATAAAATCACGGGTGTAGTGATAATAGATCGATGAATTAAAAAATAATAACATGGGACAAGTAGTAATAGTAGGATAGCGAGAAGATCGAGCGGAACGTGTCAGCGCGAAACATTAGCATACCTCATATCCTTCACGGAAACTGTTATCGCAAAAAGGTCCTCGACGATCGAGAATTTTGTTTATGTGTCTCCACCTATCAGCCCAGTCTCTAGAGTCAGTTTGCATGGCTGTTGTCGAGTTGTCGGCAGCCATCGAGTCTATTGTTCAACAATCGAACAGCTGACGCCACAAATTCAAGCAAGTGATACAGAACAAACTTCTGCATGTGAGAGTATATGGAAACTTCCAATGTATAAATAAATAAATATAAATAAAAGTAAATGAATGAATGTATTGATAAATGTATTATTTATCTATTCTGCAATACAGCGCTCATTTCCCTCTCGGCCCCTCGAAACGTTTGATCATGCAGAATCAAAGGTCATGGGATCTCTCGTGCATTAAACAAGTTATTGCGCATAAAGTTGTGTTTTTTGTTTACACAAAAACCAAATCAAGAAAGTTGGTATTATTTTTACGGCTTAGTATCAGGTTATTGCGAATCGGCAATAACAATAAATGCTTTTGGCCCGACTTTTAAAATACTTGCCGATCTCAACTCGAGCAAACAGACAACAAACAAACCATAGTTTAAAAAGTTGGAATGCCACTAATCGTTTGAGCAAGTTTATGCGACTCACAAAATGGTATATGCATTTCCCAAGAAACCAGATAAATGTACACGAAGTTTGCCTAAATTTGTTGACTTGCTTTCTGGTTTAACCATAATCGACATAGTACGTAACTAGCGTTCTCAGAAGAGATTGCTGCTGGTTTGCTAATATAATAGGTTGCAATGTAACTGCTGCGGTCGTTAGTAATGTACTTGTCATGGTCAAAAATTAAAGTTGCAGTCTATAATAATAATAGGTTTGCGGTTAACAGCATACCGTCAAATACTTTTTAAGTCTTTGAGAAAGAGTTGTTTGTTTCCGCAGATAAAATATCTTGTGAAACGGGCCAGGTCACTCAAAATGGCTGAGAAAGCAATCCCTATAATACGATAATGGTTTTTTTTAGACTATGCTCCAAATGGTATGTATGATCACTATGATCACTCTATTCATTTACTCCCTTATTTACTCAAGTTAAAGATCACATGAATGATCATCCAGCCAGTCAGATGTTTAACATTGAAACGTTGCGCGCCCCACTAGTTGCTAATGCAGAAAACGCCATGTTTATATGTCTCACATGATGATGCTAATTAAAAATCGTGGTCTCGAGTATAATAGAATAAATTGTCACTAAATTAGCGTAAATCGAAAATAATAATAACAAGGTTGGTACATTATGTTGTGAAACAACTGTAATACAGCGAAATAAGATATTGTCCTACATCCAATATTATGTGATACAAGGCTACAGAAAAATCAATGTTTGCCCGAACCCACCGCAGATTAACCGTCGCCCATTTGAACTGTTGCAGTTGTTTTTTGACAAGTCTTTTTTTTTTTTCCTCGAACAGACCTTCAAATAGATAAAGTTTATGTGAATAAGGAGGAATTATAAGAATTTAAAATTGTGGCCCCCTGTCGCATCAAAGGGGGAAGAGTTGCACTTGGGTCACTACCTCCGAAATAATAAAGCCTAATATCACTCTGTTTGTTCGATAAACTCTCTACCGATAACCTAATTTGGCGAACTATGTTTGATTGGTTTAATAATCCGTCTGCATTCATAATAATAATAGAAATAATATAGTAAAAGTGATCCACCAAGACGGTAAAAAAGTCGTTTAAACCATGAATATGACGTCTGATAAACTTTTAACTAGTTTGTATAAGCGAATCGAATCAGACAAGGTCGAATTGAACTGGGTGCATTATTAATTATCAACCAAGACGATGCAAGAACCTATGATGCAGTGTGACAGATAAAAATTAACCGGTGCATTCGATCCTTATCAGATGAACGGCATCCCCCTAGCGGCTTTCCAGCTTGTGTGACTCGTGTAAATTTGTTTTTGTCCATAAATAAGTTAATCGAAACAATTATCGGGGGCTAATCTTCTATTTTTTGATAAAAAAAGATGCCACGTATGCGGATGCTTGGTTATCGGCACCCGCATTCAATAAGGATTATTTTTTTGCCAACCGTCTTTATCGGCCTAGACTGTATGTGGAGAAGCACGTGAATGTATTATACAATGACTGGCAATTTCCGAGATTATCGTTTGTAATGAATAAGTAATCTATATCTGTTAGTAATCTATTGTCATTCGAGGCGACTGGTGGCGAAGCATGCATAATGCTGTGCGACTTGGCATAGTGATATTGAGACGCGTACTACCATCATGCACATATTTCTTGTCGAAACAAATAACCATTCTTGCGTTGAAGATGTGTGCTCGCCTCTGTATCGAAGAATGTGACGATCTGCACTGATAACAAATGAGCATTTGTGAACGATCACGGAACAAGATTTCAGGTGCTAGTTCAGGGTCGCCGTCGTGACGATCAAACGTTGCATCTTGTGCTACTCAAAGTTATCCCATCACAACATCACAACGAGTTTGTCTGTTCATGTGGGGTAGGTTATTGTTACATCGACAACATACGCCTATCCATTCAAACTTTCTTCCCACGCAATTTATATAAAGTCGTCGATATGCATCAATTTCTGGCTCCCCCATAGAATCTGTCTCTGAATCAAAAACTATAAAACTGTATTATTGTCTCTTTTATTCAAGTACGCATCTTTACTCTCCTTTTCAATCCATCCACCAGAGGAATAACGCCGCCGACACTAACTCAAACATATAATCAATCAAACAGAACTTGCTACAGGATTTATTATACATACATGAAACTGCACATTCAGCAGTAAATAATCAAAAAGCAAAACGCAATACCCAAGTTTCTGTGTCAAAGCAAAGCGTCAAACACCATTCGAAAGTAAACGCACCCTCAAATATCTGGACTCGATACAACATATATGCATTTACTCCAACCAACTATGTCACTGACTACCTCGACTACGAACAACTCCTCGACCCAACGTCAATCACGGCCTGATTATCCACGAGCATCCACTTTTCCTTCTTTCACTTTAACTCGCCGTCGTCCAACAGATACTTTTGTCCAGCGTCTTCTCAAAGATCCCATACTTCAGACTATGGCAGATATTGGTAAACAGGAAAACGACATATTTACTCCACTACCAGTCTCACAACTACAATATTCGAGCATTACTGGGAATTCCTTTCAGAGCAAAATATAACCTCTACTACATAATACTGTATTTGGACTTGCGATGATAGATATCTATTGAAGTGTCATTTATCATACTGAACATTTGATATTATATACATTCACCACTCTTTAAATATTTAACTGATTAGTATTTGACTTTTCTTTTACTTTTGATGTTGATTTCTCATTCTTTGTAACTACAAAACTTTTCATTGAACGATAAATAAATGTGTCATATAAATTCATGTACTATTGATTTGTTATTATGACACCAGGATTAAATAAACCTCATTCTAAACACGATCAGATAAATAATCAACTGGGCCTAAGTACCAATGACAGCGATATATTTGTATAGTCTAAGTTATTGTTGTCTACTTTAATAATTTGCAAATTATCCACTACTACCCACTACTATCGTGAAGCACGGGCCAGATGAGTACTTTTATGTCAATGTTAATAGTAAATATATAATATAGCCTTGGTGCTAGTTATTGGTGTTATTGGTGAGTGTCACTTGACCTGTAATGGCACCTGAAAGCGGGTAACCTCTCTTCCCACCTTTAATTCCAAAATAAAAATAATAAACAGAGAACTAATTTCTATTAACGAAAGCGCTCATAGTTGTTGCTTTGCTTAAAACATTATCTAAAGAATATTTGATTAGGCAAGTTGGCGCCAGAATCGCAGAACGTTACCATATTTGGACGGGGATTCAGTAAAAATATGTGGACGTCACATTTACAAAGACGTCCTTTTGCAAATGAACCAATCTCTCCTTTTTTCTTGTCAATGAGTTTGTCTGCTTATTCTAAATTATAGCCAATAAAAAGGTTATAAACAATTATTTTAGCTTTATATTCCACTGATCTATGTTGTTTGCATTATAGAAAAAATTGATAAGTAAAGTATTAGTTTACTTGTCATATTAATTACAACAAATGTATCAATTGCATGCAATGGAAGCAATAACACATCATTGAGGAGCTCGGATCTTTTCTTAGCCTTTATGCTAAACAACGTGACACTATCCTAAAGTTTTCTTCTTCAATGAATGCAATATGTCAATGTGAAAGCGCTCTTAAGTATTGAAGAAAGCTCTCTGATATTTTGACAAAGACATTGCGACATCTATGGCGGTTAGCTGATGAGAATTATGGCCACAAATACAGTGACATAGCTATCAAGTGTTAGATGCGAGATCAATAAGGACCGACGTCAATTTCACCACTTTGGGGAGTCGTTTAATTACAGGGCTATACCAATCGAAGAGACCGGAATATAAAGAACGTATCAAGAATGTTTTTGATAGTGCGTCTCTATTCATTGTATATTTATCTTAACTAATACATTAATTAGCTGCTAATAATTAATAATACGGTTATTAGTGAAAACTTACTGTCTACAATAATACTGTATACAATAATCAAGCGGACTCGTTCGCTAAGAGATGCTGGAACAATTATAAGAAATTCCTTAAACAGACGCGTCGAATTTAATTGCCTTAATACGTGGATGGTTCAAAAAGTTCTTGCCGCATCGTTTTACGGGCTGATAACCTATGACAACCTAACACTAACCAAATAAAATCTCCGAAATTTTTTCGTTCAAAGTTCGTTCATCAAACCGTTGGTTTGCATTTCAGGTGAACCAATACCATATTTGTTGAAATGGCAAGACGCGATAGATCTTTAGTAAATTTAATAAATCTTGCAAACATAAAGCACTAACATTACGCACGGTTTGACAGCTGGTTAAAACTTTCAATAATGGTAGAGACTGCTTGGAAGATGACCCTTGATCCATAAGGCCTTCAGGCAGTTGTTTACGGTGTCTCACAAAAGGAATGTTGAAAGTTGGTGGAAAAAATTACAAAAACGTATAAATGTAGGAGACTATTTTGAAGGAATATTTTAAAATTATTTTCGAAATAAAGTCAGGCGGCAAGAACTTTTTGAACCACCCACGTATAATCTTTGACTATCATTGACGCGCTAGCACACAAAAACTAGGCCCCGATCCCCTAAACATATGGATCAGATTTGCACATCATATAAAAGTGCCTCATACTCTATAAAGAAGTAATTATACTCCATTTGTACAGTATACGTACGGTAGGGTTTTTCGCTTGATTGGATAACGACATACTGTATTTCGGTGTTATCGATGATAGATAACGGCTTTCAATTATGAATACCAACTATATATTGTAATCACGGACAAGCCGAAGCAACCCACAAAGTAGTCTGCTGGGCGCTGCACACACGATTTGGTGTGCTCATCAACAAGCCAAAGCATTTCCCACTGCAAGCCGCAACCAGCAAGGTAGTTGGTGATGGCATTATCTGTGGAATTAACCGTAGAATGGGAATACTTGCCTTAAAACTTTGTTCCCCACTTGGCTACGTTCCGTCGATACCGGAATTCGCGTCGGGATAATGCAAACTGATTTGTGTAGTTCACGATTATAGTAACTATGCTCGGTTTCTTGTCCTTCAATTCACTTGATAGGAGTCGGTACGTTAAGAACTTTATTAAGGAAGGCCTGTCTTCTTTTTCCCAGAAGGCTGTACAATCACGAAAATTAACGCGCCGTAAGGATTACTGTAAGAATTTGGCCACTCCTGGTCTTACCGCGAAATTTCAAGGAATCAAGGCATCCATCTTTTAATTTCATTATGACAAAAGATTCAGTGAGGGCTTGGGCGAAGGCGGTATAAAGACAATGGGCGCTAATAAAGCGAAGCCTAGAACCAAAGTGCAGCAACGTTCGAAGGTGAAGGTCAATTAACAAAGAACGGTCACGTTACAAGGACGCGTGCCCGCTGGGCTGTTCAACAAACATCACATACGTTAGCTCCCTGTATTAATTATAATACGTGATCAATTCAGGTCACGAACGTTTCAGCTTCAGCTTCAGCCCCCACAATAAATCGTCAATTACTGCAGCGAAGCTTTGTGAGAGCACAAACACATAGAATTATATAGTTGCTCACCCTAAATCACATATACAGATATTATTCATACGACATTTGGAGTTTCGATCCTTGCCTGACAAGTTCTAACGCATAGACTTACATTGTCCCTTATATGGATAAGTGGAGATATCTGAAAGTACGCTGCCACTAGGTTGGAGTTTCAGACGAGACTCCATACCGAAAAGCTCGTCTGGAACGATACCGGGTCTGTGGTGAATAGGATATCTTTAAACATTACTTAATTCTTGATGTAATAACTACTTGTATGTGAACGTTCGATTTCTCCGTTGCCGAAAAGCCGTCTGGAACAATACCGGGTCTGTGGTGAATAGGATACATTAACCATTTGAATTGAAAGCGCATCGTGGCCAGACGGCCTGCTGTGAACGTTCTTCAACTGGTTAATAACTATGATGATACATTTACTCATTTTCTATTTATATCCATAGGCATGAACCGGGCGATGGAGGTGTTGATTTGAGTGGGTGGTTTAGAGGGTATTTCCTAATGATCCAGTGTAAGGTAATTATCTAATACCGTCGTACAACAGTTATAGTTAACAAACATATAATTTATATGTATTCTTTGTTGGTGCGCTATTCCGGATTATGACTAAAATCGATTTTTCGCGTTCAAGCGAATCGGAATATCGAAATTTAAATCGTACTTAATATTCTGTGTCAATTTTTGGTATACACCTCGACAACAGTTATGGTTAACAAACATATAATTTATATGAGCATTGGATTCTTTGTTATTGAAGTAATGATGATTGACGACGAATTTCGCGTCTTCGAAAAATCAAGCCAATCGGTATACCCAAATTCAAATCGTACTTAATATTCCGTGTTAATTTTTTGCCAACACATTGACAACAGTTACGTTTAACATGCATGTAAATTTTATAAGCATAGGATTCTTGGTTGTTGAGTTAGTGATGAGATCGCAAGTTGTATTTCAAAGTATATAAGGGAATCTTTAGTAGCCTGCTAACAGACTAGTCTCAGATTTCGCATTTCCCTCTCGCTTTATCCATACATGTATATGTATTAGTATTGTTACTTATGGAATCTTCTTTCCCTCATCTCTGCAAAACTTGTCAGAGTTTGCTTTCGATCAGTTGCACAACAAACTAAACGAGAATCTGTTAAAACGTTCTTATACGACGCTTTGCATGAGCGTTTGCCGTTGTTAATAGGCGACATGTCTTAAGCAAACATCCAAAGACTACAAATAAAGCACCTCACCTTTACGGCCATAAGACATTTTGAAGCACTTTCTATTCGCCATTAATACGAAGGAAAACTGACTTAATCAAGCATAATTGAAGGAAGATCTTAGCCTTTATACGAAAAAAGTAGACGTTTTCGGGTCTAAGCAAAGTCAACGTAGAGTGGTCAAAAGGTGGAGATTTAAATCTGTATAAGGTCAAAGGCAATTTAATGTTGTCGCATCCTTTGCATCTCATGTTACACCAAAAAATACTTGTCGAGGGGACATTTCCCGTGACTATTAATAGACATTTGGCATTATTACTAGCATGCTTTAATTATGTTTACTGGATTCCGTATAATATTGCTCGCTGGAGCTTGTATATTTTTTACTCTATTAGCTCTAATCTCGCTTTCAAGCAGATTGCCTTCAGAAAATAATACTTTCCAAGTGGACAATAGATATGAAATCAAACCACATGTTCCCAATGACGAACACGCTACTGCAAAGGATGTTAAAGTGAGACAACATAGGGAGATAGTTATTCGCCCTGGAGAGAAGTTTTTATCATACTGGACACACAGTGGATACCATAATCAACGTATTGCTTTAGAGAATGCATTGTTGCTTGCAAAGATGCTTAATCGGACTTTGTTATTGCCGCCGCTATTCTTAGGACCCCCAGTTCCGTTTGCAGAATTTGACAGAATGTATGAACGTCTATTGACGATTACAAAGAGGGGATTGGAACATTGCGGGAAGGTGCCGAGTGATTATCCGATACCAGCCGAGTGTCTTAATTATTATTTGAACACAAAAGTCTCTTGGGAGTTCCTGGTGGATATGGAACCGATTCGTAGATGGCACAGTTTTGTCGAGAGATGGGACATGTCGGTTGAGTGGCTCCATTCTCGGTTGGGTATTACTCATGATGACACGTACCGTTTAAAAGATAATCGTCTCTGGGATTATCGTATATATGATACGAACGACAGTGCGATTGGACTCGACAAGTATGCGCGATCTATCTTTGTAGAGGACTTGAAACGTGTTGAACATAAATTAATCCAAACGGGTTCATTGTTTGGTACTTTTCGGGTCGTTCCTGATTTACTGGAAAACCAACAACACTTAAAGTTCATCAAGGAACATCTTGTTAATAGGAATGCCATTCTTACAAAGTTAGCTGCACGTATTGTGGATAAAATAGGAGGCGCGGGTAACTTTATTGGATTACACATGCGGGTTGGAGACGGTTTCTTCATGAGGACAGCAAGAATGACTCTTGACCGTATGTACCATACGATAATTGACGCTAGGACTAATTTATCGCCTGATGTAGTCGACAAATTGGAGGGGGGTACTCACGATCAGGACATACTTGAAGATGAGACAGTTGATTTAAATAAGCGCATGATCAAACCGCTAGAATCAGAAAGTTTTGAGGCTGCTACAAATGACGTGTTCCCAGATTCGACTAAAACGCGTCGTGCCGTTGTTCCGATTTCTCGTCCTAAAATTCAATGCCACAAGGAGCTGGATGATAATGATCCTGGCGTTAATACTATCATTTATATTGCTACTGATGCCAAAATGCCTCGAAATAATTCTCTTCTATTTAAGTTCTTTAATACTTTTCCATGTGTGTTCGTTTTGGATGATTTCCAAGAAGAATTGGATGAGATCAGACCGTTACGAAATATTGAGGATAAGGCTCCACTCGCCAGTCATCTTATTCCAATGTTGGATGCAATGGTTGCTGCTCATGCAGAGACATTTTACGGTACTCCTAGATCGACGTTTAGCACTTACATTAACAAACAATTGCAACCTATATATGCAGGAAAATCAATTGATATTGTAGTATATTCTTAGAAAAATAGACATTATGGTACAGCGGTCTCATGGTAACGTTTGTTTTAATTTTGAGTGCGAGAGCAAATTGTTAGAACAGACTTTGTACTTGCTTCGCATAATAATGTCACGAAGGTTACGGGAGCTGTCCAAATGCGTGAATGCACGGAGACGTGATCACCTCAATCTCAACGCACTGCCAGTTTTGAGAAATATGAAACTTCGCATAATAACAGGCAGGAAGTTCTTACTTCAAAAGATTACCAAGTAAATTTGCTCTATTTTTTACGTTGAACAGTAAGGCCCATTGTAAGATCTACATTTGTATTACTTCAAAGAATGGGAATGAGTTTTTAGATTATCCAAGTAGAACAAGGGATATCAGGTCGATTATTAACTGAGTCTATGAGCATAATATAAACTTGATTTTCAGAGTTAACAAATAAGATTTAGGTAATTGAAGTTGAGTCATCTAGCAATGAGGAATTTACGTGTAATACACTGACATGTTAGCGAGACCGGCCGCATTGTTCCGTAGAGTTTCACGTCGCACTCCCGACGTTAAGTCGTGTAATTAGTTTCCATCGTAGTCTTGTTTGGCCAGTACACCAAGCTTGTAATTAAATATGACATAATAATCTCACTAATCTCGGATTTCCTGTCCCTCCAGAAGGTATTGCATTCTTGTCTAAGTAAGTAACTCTTTAGCTTTTTCTTTATTCTTTTCCGTAGACATGAATACACGAGATGTCTTTTATCCTTGATTCTTTGCATGTTCAAATATACATTCATCTGTAACAATTGCCAAGAATAGTAACAATGCCATTATAAAATGCCGATAAATCGGCTAACGCAATGTCATCTCAACGCGTCACATGAATGATGGCACGGTTGGTATCTATCTAAAATGCAGTCCCACTTAAGCGAATAACAATCGTAATGCCACGAGAATATCCACGCGGATATTTCTATTAGTGATCCACGATTATACTGAAAACCAAGAACGAATTATCAATAATGTATAAAAAACTACTCGTTTATTAAAGATTATAATTGACAGTAATTGAACACACAGATTCTAACAGAGAGTCGCGCTTCTTATATAACTATTCGAGATGTCAGTTTTGTGGATTATTTACAACAGCGGGTGGAATTATGTTACAGTTTGTGAGACTAATATTAAATGACGACGTATATATTTTCTGCGTAACTTCAGATCGGAGATGTCATTATCGTCCATATTTATCGAAAGTGACATTCGCATGTATGACATCAATAATATATAGCACAGTCAGTTATCAATATGCTGCTCTTCGCCGTTCATTATAGTAAATAAACGTTGTCACCCACTTACCACGTTGAGGTGGCAGCATATCAAGTGGGTTTGCCTAAACAGGATCAATCAACCATCTCGGGGATCAAAACCATTTAGGACTTTACAAAAAATTATGCGATGTTGCATTAGAAAAGATTGTATTCGATAATGCTTGCTTGACATCTACCACGTTCGTAAACATCCCTCACTCACGAGCTGAGGTGGCAGCATATCAAATATGTATCTTAACCAGTAGGACTAAGTATCCTAGCCAGTATCCTCCCAGCCAGTAGGACTAAGTATCCTAGCTAGTATCCTCCCAGCCATAGGACTAAGTACCCTAGCCAGTATCCTCCCAGCCATAGGACTAAGTATCCTAGCTAGTATCCTCCCAGCCAGTAGGACTAAGGACCACGTACAGTTGTCTGTTAGCGTCCATGGAGGGGAGGGCAAGTATTTATATATTTGTTGCTGAAATATGGGACGGGGGACTTCCGATTGGGCCGCAAGTAATAATAATAATATATTCTCCATTTTACGCGAAAAAATTGTTTATGCTGCGGGCGCCCTGAAATATTACATGTGTACCTGTGAGTTGGACGCGTATGTAAACAGTCACCCCTTTCCCCATTTTGTCAAGAGTGTAATTCTTGGTCTTGCATAAATTGATCGCGATTAAAATTGTATGTAAGCTAAATTTGGTTTGGTAGTCTGTCTTAAAGTTGTTCTCACCACATGGTATCAGCGCGTCCGCTTATTACCTTACTCTTTATCAGGCGTTTTTTCTTTACGAAAATTTTTTTTATCACAGACCCAGTCATTTTTAAATTACCAGCCGCCTTAATCTTGAACATAATTTCATAATGCCCGACGAGTGACGACGAGGTCAACACCGTTTGTATACTGAAAGCGAAAAAGTAGCTTGATTATTATAAATAACTTTACGCAAATTTATTATGTTGCTATCCATATATACTATTGCTCTATCCGAAACATTCTATTAGTACAAAGAAAATAATTAATAAGCCAGTCTTCTATAATACCTAGCTTGACACTCAAATTAACACTTAATTTACGATATTTATTACACTTACTTGTCTATTACATAGTCATTGTCGTTCATGATTTTGGGTCCCGTTTTGATAACTTATTTCTCTTTGAAGCTTTAATAGGATATAATGCGATGCTTTGCACCGATGTTTTAACGCTTACTATCTAATCAGATTGCCCTGACGCTTATCGTATCTTAGAAATATCAGCCCAACAGTTAGCCAAGAATACGCAGATAAAGGAAGAAATAAGAAGAAAGGCATTATCTTTGAAGAGAACGAGCATATTCGAGTAACCGTCTAGGTCTATCGATCGACACTAGGTCGTGAGTAGTAAATCTTAGTTTAAAGGTTACTAACTGCCATTATATTTAATTAAGTATGAGGAGCCGCAGCCCCGTTCCAAGAGTGATTGTTGACTCGACACATACTAGATTGTGAGCATGGCTGCAGATTAAAGAGAGCGGAGAAGCATTGGACTGAAGAGTCCTTAATCAAAATATTTCTGTCGTTATATTCTTGTTTAACTATGCGTTTTTTTTACTATTACTAGTAGACAATCGTACAATTATGACTATGGCATATTCGACGTAGCATTGAACAATTGATTATGTTGATATCGAAGTATCATAATCACCGCATTGTCAAGGAATCTGTAGTTAGAACAAGTTTATATATCATCCAATCATTAATCGTGCGATTGTTCGCCGTAAATATATAAATACAAAATGTGAGAGAGAAATATCAGCAATAAAACTCCAAGTTTCTAAAACACAATCGCTCAATTCTGAATATAACGATAGGTATGTATCGAGGACCAAGAAGGCTAAAACGCGAACTAGAATATTATCGAACAGCAAAGATTTTAACTGGCGGGAGATGTAATACAGAAGTCACGCTCCTGCAACAAAAACTATAATTGTAATAAGACACCACATGGCGGATCTAAAAAGTGCTAGTTTCTTTTCTTTTCATAAATGCTTAGTGGATTTTAAACATTTTTAACCCATTACTTCCCCATCACTATTCTGCATATAATGAGTGCCTATATAGCACGCTCTTACCGTCTAACCAGAACTCATTCGTCGAATAGAACGCGCCTGCTCATACGCGGCTTTTTCTCTGGCAAGACAGCAAAACCACTAATACGTAATCAATTAGAAATAACTTGTTCAGAATTTCCTGTTAGTAGAGATCAACACAGGAAATATACCACCGACGCCGAACACAAAAAAGACCGATCCCCCAACGCAGAGCACAAAAAAGATCGGCCCTCCAACGCGGAGCACAAGAAAGATCAGTCCTCCAACGCGGATAGAGGCTTTTTCACAGACAATAAGGGTAAAAACCCCGAAGAAATCAGAGCTCGAGAGAAAGATAAGGATAAAGAGAATAATCCTCCAATAACCAAAGCAAAGGTTCCCAAGGGATTCGAGAATTTCTTCAATAAAGGACGTGGGCAAGCGTCGCCTGTACAGGATGGCTCTGAGAATACACCTCCTAAACCACCTCCACAACCAAAGGAAATGTGGACCATGACATTGAATGCGAATACACTACTTCCCTTAATATTCTCTGCATACATTCTATATAGAGTAGTCGGTGGAGGTGAAAATTCGAGGGAGATCACATGGCAAGAATTTCGAACTGCATTTTTGGAGAAGGGACTGGTGGATAAGTTAGTTGTATTAAACAAAAAAAAGGCGAGAGTATATCTACATTCTAATGCAACGGGCCAGATGTATCCTAATGCGCCTACTGTCCCTGGAGCTACATATTACTTTAGTATTGGTTCTGTCGAGGCATTTGAGAGAAAATTGGATGATGCACAGAACGAATTGAACATTCCACCTTCGGAGCGTATTCCTGTTGCTTATCATGACGAGATTAGCATTATGAGCACTCTATTGCATTTTGCGCCGACGCTACTACTTGCTGGTGCTCTTTTCTATATTACAAGGAGAGCTGGTGGAGCAGCTGGCTCTCAAGGGATCTTTGGTATAGGAAAATCAAAGGCCAAATTGTTTAATCAGGAAACTGACGTGAAAGTTAAATTTAAAGATGTCGCTGGCATGGATGAAGCAAAGGAGGAGATTATGGAATTTGTTAAATTTCTCAAAGATCCGACAGCCTATGAGAGATTGGGTGCCAAGATACCCAAGGGGGCTATTCTCAGCGGTCCGCCTGGAACAGGAAAGACTCTTCTTGCGAAGGCTACAGCAGGGGAAGCAGGAGTACCATTTCTGAGTGTATCAGGAAGTGAATTCGTGGAAATGTTTGTTGGTGTGGGTCCATCGCGTGTACGTGATCTGTTTGCTAATGCTAAGAAGCATGCTCCTTGTATTATATTCGTTGATGAGATTGATGCGATTGGTAAGTCACGTGGTAAAATGGGACAATTTGGAGGGAATGACGAGAGAGAAAGTACATTGAATCAGTTGCTTGTTGAGATGGATGGATTTGGTTCGAGTGAACATGTGGTAGTGTTAGCTGGTACCAACCGTCCGGATGTATTAGATCCTGCTCTTATGCGCCCTGGTCGATTTGATAGACACATTGCTATTGATAAACCTGATATTAAAGGTCGTAGTGCTATCTTCAAAGTTCATCTGAAACCAATAAAAACGAAAGAAGACATTGATAGAATATCCAATAAATTAGCAGCATTAACACCTGGGTTTAGTGGAGCAGACATCGCTAACGTATGTAATGAGGCTGCATTGATTGCGGCCAGATATCATCGCGAGTGGGTAGGAGAAGAACATTTTGAGCAAGCTATTGAAAGGGTGATTGCTGGATTAGAAAAAAAGAGTCGGGTACTATCACCTGCAGAGAAGAAGACAGTTGCATATCACGAAGCAGGACACGCTGTAGCCGGATGGTATCTTGAGCATGCCGATCCGCTTCTGAAAGTGTCTATTATTCCACGTGGCATTGGTGCATTGGGATATGCTCAATATCTTCCTAAAGATCAGTATTTATATTCTACTGCTCAGTTACTCGACCGCATGTGCATGACTCTTGGCGGACGTGTATCCGAGCAAATATTCTTTGGTGTTATCACTACGGGAGCGCAGGATGATTTACAAAAAGTAACAAAGCTGGCGTATGCGCAGATATCTATATACGGAATGAATTCAAATGTAGGTCCATTGTCATTCCAGGGATCCAATGAGACTGAACCACAATTTCAGAAACCATATTCGGAAGAGACAGCAAGGATGATAGATGATGAAGTGCGTCAATTAGTGTCACGTGCGTATGATAGGACAGTTGCTCTGTTGACTGAGAGGAGGAACGAAGTTGAGAAAGTAGCTCAACTGCTATTATCCAAGGAAGTTCTTAACAGGGAAGATATGCATACACTGTTAGGGAAAAGACCCTTTCCAGACAAGACACCATACGACGAGTATATTAATCCAGAGTCACCAAATGATCAATCGCCACCACCGACGGAAAAGGGAGAAGATGGAGGAAGTAGTCAACCATCAACATAGTAGAGTGTACTAATATTTATGTTTAATGCGGAGAGTAATGTAATAAACGTTTTGAACGCATCCACACGCGAATTCTTTGTCAATATATACCAGTGTAATCGTGCATTTGCTATCTCACGTGTAAGTTTCATTACGGAATTGTGGGTTTAGCAATACTTTTGGTTATATGAGGTATGCTGCAACAAAAACCAGACAAAGTGAACATAACACCACAGTGTATTAAGGTTGTTTACTCATTAATGCCGCGGATTCGTTCTACACCATATTTTAATTCTCTCATTACAGATCGCGAAAGAAATTGAACGTTAAAAGGATCTGCTTCTTTTGGTCTTTAGAAAGCTGATACAACAAACCATGATGCGTTCCAACATGACCATAGTTGTAGTCTATTTGCGAAAAATGTTAAGACGTTAAAATCAGATACCCAAAAATTTGAGCCATTGATAAATATAATCTCTTTGGTCACGGTACAAATTTAAAATTCAGTAATTTTGTTATTGTAATTAGTATTAGTTTTCTAGTCAGACACAGGTTAATATTAATGTATTATCGACATTCCAATTCGTTGTAAGCGTAAATTTATATTGAGATGCCAGTCTTAATATTAGCAAAGTTTCACATCTCTATATGGTTGACTGGTTTCTTATCAGTAACCTTTACGTTGGATGTCTGACATTGTTAACATTAATTGTACGTTGCTGAGCGTGTTGACGCTACTACAAGCAGCTGCATAACAAATTTGATAAATACACTTGGCATAGTTTTGAATGCTTTCTTTTTAATATGTCACGGATAAAAGGTATGCGAAGGTAAAACTGCACATTAATTACGCTCTACTATGCTATCAACCCAATGATCATTATCTTGCATAACATCAAATAAATAGTCTCGACACCCATAATTTAGTATCATTAAACCTATTACTCCTAAGATACTCCTAACGCTCTTCACCCGCTCACTTGGGACTTCCTAAACCTGCCAATGCCCTTTATCCTGCATGTTCAACGGGAACGGTAATAAGCTTCCCATCGACGATTGTACTCTTTAGTTGCTCGGGTACTGGTCGCTCAGCGTAATCACCATTCTCACCAATTTCAGGAATGTTAATATTGATGGCAGAGCACTTGGCAGTTAGGATTTCCACATCCAAACATGATGCCGATAAGAACACTTGACCGCTGTCAGTTTTGTCAAGTGCGATAGTCGGTGTCTTACCGAGGATCTGGAGCTGAATTGATTTACAATTAACGACATCGACAGCAGCGACTACAGACTCCAGTAGCACGCCTGTCTTTTGGCAGGAATCTAAAGAATAAGTAATTTGTACAGCAAAACAATGTCGTAGTAACACATTAATACTTTGCGATAATTATTCTGCAACTAGCCGTAATTGTTGATATACAATTTTCATTACACTCACCAACTGTAACAGTATTGACCTTGCCTTTTACTTGGATCGTTGAATTCTTGCACCCATAAATATAGACAGTTTGATTGATTGCCGTATTATCTAACACAACATTGCTATCGTTTTCGTAATTCTCCTGCATAAGTAAAGTAACAGTCAATAACAATCTGACTAATGCTCAGCAAGAACAAGACAAATGAGTATACTAACAATAGTCCATTTATTTCCATCCAATACAGTCTTTGGAGGCTTCTTCATGCTCAACGAAGCTGGCTTGGGTGGCGCAGTCGGGCCTTTCTTCTGTGACTTGGCTTGGGGGATAAACAAGATGAATATGAGTACTGCATTACCTGATTCGAAATCTGAGATATTGCTCAACGAGAACCGTCACCATGGCGACTTATATAATACATTCTCTTCTTTTTCTTAATAAATTATTATCTCTCGCATGCATTCTCATCCAAATAACTCACCTCCAACATCACCAACCGTTGCGCCAACCCTCAATGCAGGATTCTTGTGTGTCATCTGACTCTTATCCACCTTCTTCAGACTAGCAGTGATACCTTCGCCTTTATTAATCTCAGCAAACACTGCTCCCATGTCAGAAGATGTTTCACTAGACGGTGGTACCACAGGCGGCGGCGGCGGCGGTGGAGGAGGCGGTGGAGCTGAAGTGGAAGATACACCAGTCTGAGCAGGTTTGCGGCCGATGAATGTCTTTGCATCCACTCCCTGTTAAAATGGAGACGTGAAATACAATTCAATCAGAGAATTGTAATTGTCAATAACAAAGATTAAATATGCGTTGTATTAATCTTACTTGTGGATTCCAAACTAGCCCAGTTGGATGATACTTCTTAACATAGCCTTGTAATTCAGTGAGAAGAATAATAAAACTGTTCGCCCAGTCTACATGTGCTCTATCTCTAAACAAAGTAAAACCGTCATCTCAGCTAGATTCTTCCGTAAACAATAGTCTCTCTTGTCGATAGAACAACTCTTTCCTATTTCAATATATACTCACTACGTTGCACGTCTAAATCTCTCTTGTTTCGTCCCTTTCAAATGAATGAACTTACCGATCCCTCCACTCTTGAATAACCCTATGAGCGTAAAATTGCGCGCTTTCCTTTAAATCGCCAACATATGGTGCCGGCCTGGGCTCCACTGTCACCCAACCTAATGCGCCTATACCTTCACTCACAGTCGACAGGTGGTTAAAAAACGATGACGGGCGATTATTCTCACGATACTCGCATACTTTCTCTAATGCTTGTTGCGTAAGTTTGAGAAGTTCGGAAAATGTATCGGAAGAAAGACTGGGTTTTTGGGATTGCGTTGCGATATATATAAAGTCGCGTTGAGCTATAAAAATATCTTCGACCGAATGGCTCTGATTGTATAAGAGAGATGACATAGCAGATTGATTAGGGTTGGCGAATAATATTCTGGGATTGACAGATGACGGTGTGGTTGAGGGGTAAGTATTTTCTCACGCATTCGCGCTCTCATAGTTGAGAATTACTTTGTTAACAGGCCAGAATCACATCCGACCGGCTCTCTCCAAACTAGCCATCTTGCTCACTCACAACACTCACAAATTCTCTCTCTCTCTCTTCTAACCTGATCCTCAACAAGCCCGCCAATGCTCTTCGATAAAGCCACAAAATTCTTTAACGGATTCTCCATAATCTCATCATAAGCAGCCAATACGAGAGGCACCTCCGGTTCGTCGGGCACATTATTACTGGCGGGAACGCTGTATGAGGTCGGCGCGGGCTGTCCACCGACTGGGGGACGACCGAGATTATTTGTAACTGCCGCTGCGGAGGCAGTTGAGGTGGCAAGATCCTCGAGGCGCGAAGTTGCAGCTTCTAGACGTTTTATTAGGGTTGTGAAAGACTGAAGCAAAGATCGAAAAGGGAGCGAAAAGGAGAGAAGTAGGTAGCATGGAACCAACGCTGAATTAGAGTGACTAGTAAGAAAGCATACGCAGGAAGAAAGACAACTGGGGCTTACCTGAAACTCTGTCATTATAGTAAAGAATGCAGGGAAGGCAAAGATGGATCAGGATGAGTGAAGTATTTTATTTACTGACGTAACACAATGAATTCCATGCATGCATTGAAATTAGTTGTTTGATGGGGAAAATGCACTTAATTCAAACGATAAGGGGGCATGTTTCAAATTTTAAAATGAACATAGTTTCCCGTTTCGTTACTTTCCGGTTGTGTGCGAACTTTTCTTTAATTCGAAATTGTTTTTTAGATTTTAAGTCAATGAGAGTTAAGCAGTCTTTTTTTAAATTTTGTTTTTGGATGCATATTTGTTAACTTCGAAGTTGGCTTTGAATAATTACGATTAGTCCAACGCCTTGCCATATTAATATGGACATTAGGGCCTCTAAATTTTCCACTGTAAATTAAATCGCGTTTGAGTTTTCGGGGATTAAGTCGCGTTTGATGCTTCACAGAGCTTTTCGACCTTAAAATAAATTGATCTATGTCTGCCCAGTACATTAATTACTATTATGTGGTAAAGTTATTACTTATTGTGCTTACTATTAAAAAATTACTGAACAATGCTGCAGTCTGATTAGTATTAGTGTCGAAGACCATATTTTTGTGTCAAATGTTATCATAAATAATTCCGTGGAAATAAGCCTCGCAATATCGTTATCGGTCATCTCTCAATTTAGTAATAAACTATTCAGTTGCTGCGCGTTACAAAGGACTTGTCACATTCTTAACCTTTTATCTAGTACGGACCAAAAGGGTTAGAATTACTGTAATAAAGAGACTAATGCAGTTGGCTCTGTCTATAGTGAACCTGGCTATACGGAACTCTGGCTATGCGAATTCGCTATAAATAACAAGTCTACTGATAGCAAACTTTATTAACAAATCTGTCTATAGTAATAGTCTCTGTGAACCCATTGTTCTAAGCCCAAATCGAAATTTCGTATTGGTATCTGCTTTCTATTCTGAGCTCACACGTCAACAACAGAAAGAAATTATCGTATGAGAAAAAGCCAAATTTAGTGTAGATAAACGTCATACGACCATACCTTTTCTGTAGAAGTTTTTAGGATGTAATAGAATTAGTAAATCGGGAGGGAGATGAGTAGCGAACATTGGAAACAATAAGTAAACGGGCTGAGCTAGTCATTTTCCATTGTTAGCGGTTCACTTTTTTGCTCTACATATACATGCGCCTTAACCCCTGAACTAGTTCTTAACCCTGTCCATCTTGTGGTACAATAATACATTTCCCGATCGAGTAATAAATAAAAGGCCGCGAAATTCACATTTGATCCAACTCCACTAAAAGTATGTAACCTGTATTCTGTTTGTATTAATGACAACATTTATTCATTCTCACATATATCGTACATTCTTCCTTTCTTATAGTGCCTGTTGACGGGTTTATTGCCTGTGGTCACTTCTGCTTTCCAGTAAAATTTGAGCCAATATTTGTCGGCGGTTATGGTGACTATTAACTATCTGTTTCATTATTATTATATTTGATCATTAACCGTCATTGTCTAGGACCGACACTTCCGAATGTTATCACGATATTGGGTTTCAAGGAAAATAATCTCAGTGTAGGCTTCTCTTTCATATCGGCCTACTACGTTTATCTCATGCCTGATATAAAAAATGAGGTAATATCTCGTTACTCCATTTCCCTTTCCTTCCACTATTATTCTTACAATGAGTTTGGTCTTTTTCTCTCGCCAAAACATTTAATTTATCCCAAGATAGAGATAGAAATATACCACACGCTCCATCAAGCCTTGTTTACAAACAAAATGTTGGCTACTGTTTCATTGAGCAACGAGTGGTTTGGGGTGCTGAAAGCCACCGGAGATGTTGCTGAAGATCAATCAAATGCAGGATATTTCCAGCTAATTGTTCTACCGCAGGATGTCGCTAAAGGAATAGGTGAGCCGGGTACCTCAGCAAGGACAATGCCGATAAGCTATACTGCAGACGTCAAGCTTGTTTTGCCCAAGCCCGATACCGTAGATGTAAGTAAACAGAATATCAGAAAGGCAAAAGTATATGAACGTATTAATCACCTGATGTCACCTAATTCTTGTAGGGTTTAGTCAATAAAATCGAAAAATATGGGAGAACTTTGGCAAACGATGAATCAAAGTTTAAGAACAAGTATGCCGATTTGGTTATGTTTCGGTTAATTTATATTTACAAATGCCAGATTTATTCATTATTTTGACGTTTATAGTATGGAACAGTGTAAGAAAATAATAGAAATATTCCACCACATTCCACTCAGAAACAGACTATTATCAACTCTTCATAACCTCAGGTAACAATTGTCATTTTTCTATCTTGTCTAATTTCTTCAAGCCCAGAACTTTATGCTCCATACAATTGAACAGGCAAGAATGTCCACCTGGACCATCATATTCTATATTATCGGCGTGGGTACGTGACATTAAAGATGACTCTGAAGACATAGAAATGGGTGAATATGTCTCTGAGGAAGAAGAGACATATGTCAAAGAGGAACCACGAGAAAGTGCAAGTAGTAGAGTTTCATTGAGTGCACTGCTAAATCCATGACCACGCAACGTGAATAATTGACTGAAAGAATGACTCAATGCGGCTTGGAGAACTATCAGCCAATTTGTTGCATCATATTTGTCTGTCAGTTGCCATTACATTAATAGAGTTATTTACAAATTCATGAATGAATTCTCTCTATAAACGCTTGTTGCGTGATTGGAACAAAATAATGCTGCTATGCTCCATTACGACAATACAAAAATAATTGCAATAAAGCTAAAATTACTGATAGGAGTTTAGTCGTTAAGACGTGACAAATGTAAATGAAACCGTCCAATCACATTCACCTGATTTCTAAATTAGACAAATCTTTTTTTATGCTCGTTGAATCTTTCTCTTTTCCACACCCTCTCATTGCATAAGGTAACCTTATAAAAATAAAGAAGCCAACATGGGTCGTATGCATGCTCCCGGTAAAGGTATTGCAAGATCAGCTCTGCCATACCGACGTACTGCTCCTTCTTGGTTAAAGACTACGCCCGAAGATGTCTGCGAGCAAATATGCAAACTTGCAAAGAAGGGCATGACACCGTCTCAGATTGGTGTTAGTCTAAGGGACGCTCACGGTATCGCGCAAGTGAAGAGCGTTACAGGAAATAAGATTTTGAGGATTCTTAAGAAAAACAGTGAGCTATGATATGATGGATGAATTGAATGGATTTGTATTTCTGTTGAACGGGAATTAACATGGAATTCACCGCCAGGTCTATCTCCTGAAATTCCGGAGGATCTCTATCATCTTATAAAGAAAGCTGTTGCAGTTCGCAAACATCTTGAACGTAACCGAAAAGACAAGGATGCAAAATTTCGTCTCATTTTGATCGAGTCAAGAATTCATCGTCTGTCTAGATATTACAAGCTCAGTGGTCAGTTGGCTCCCAACTGGAAATAGTATCCTTTTCCAAATCATGAATTTGAACGTTTCTCTATTAAAACATAGAATATATATATTGGACATTAGGCAGAGTAACGGGAAACCGTATGCTCGCTAATCGTCTACCTTAACTCTTAATTTTCTTAATTGCTTTTTTTCTTTAGTGAATCGTCGACTGCAAGTGCCTTGGTTGCTTAGAGTTACTACCTGCTGTAATGCTCGTTTTTTCATTTGTATGCCGATACTTTGCATTGGGCAAAGCCTAATAAAAAAACAACATACAAAAAACGCATATTGGTTCGCTTTATGTCCGGGATTTTTATGCGTGAGCTTATGCCTGATTGAAGAATGTTTCAATACCTGATTATCGAAGCGACTTTCAGTGATTCAAGAGATTGGAACAAATGATGACTATCACACTGAAAATTCTGAAAAAACTTTTCCCATGTGGAAGTCGAAAGTATTCACACTGTCTGATTTCTCGATCTCTTGAACACGTGAATGCCTCTGTAATGGGTGCAAGCAATTTCTTCCTGTTATCTTTGTTTACATGCGTGGTCACATGAGCATGTTCGTTGTTGTTTAACGTTAAAGAATCAATGATTGGTGGTGAGGTGTAAATTTTTTCGCGTGATGCACGATATTGTAAATTTCGGCATCAACTAATCTCAAAATTCGTGTCACAATTGACGCCCATAATCTCACAGATTCATTTTTGCTTTCCTATATAAAATAAACAAGGTCTATTTGCCATAATTGTAGTTCTTCCTTTGCTTTAATCTGTTTTCGAACTTTGTGCGATACAGCGCTGAATTATATTAATATGCGTGTTGTGAGTCGTATTTGATTTATCTATTGTATGGAGACTTGAGGTGTTCGTATAGACAAAAAGGATACCCCGTCATAAAAAAATATTTAGTTAATAAAGCGAAAACGCTCATTAACATCACTATGACATCAACGGAACAGCCGAGAACCATGAATACTCGTCTTAGCGCAAGAACCGCAAGAAATGAGGACGGGCCAAGTAGCAGAACTAGAAAAAGGAGCAGGAGTCTTCAAGAAGAGAACGAAGGTGAAGGTAAGTATACTAGCGTATAGATTGCAAAGGGGAAGAAAGGGGAAAGGATTTATTACAGCTTAAGCGATACTGCTTGGATAATTTGTATTAGTGAGCTGTATTGAGTCGCTTGGAGCAATATTTTTATTCATTATTTGGACGTTGCTGTTATTAATCGTATTAATACTTAAATGCTATTCAATAGCCACAACACGAACACATACGCCAGCTGCGACTACAACTGCAAAACGACAAAAAGTACGAGCCGAAAGATCTATTGATAGAGAAAGTGTGTATTTCAGGCTGTTTCTTTGTAGTCATTTACCGTCTACTTTTAATAAAACAACTTACCCGTTCTTTTTTCTGTTAATACTGTGCTTAGATGCTATAGCAGAATCATCACGCACTGCTCGAACGTCCCCAATAATCCTTCCTCCTCTTCCAGATCGACCGCCAAGCGCAAATCGATCACCAAGCTTAATTTCTCTACCATCGAGTGTAAATTGTTCACCGAATGCAATTTCTCTGCCACCAATACAATCCGCAAGAGAGAATGATATGAATGGAAACGTAACGTTACCATCGCTGCGATCGTTTTTATCGATCGACTCTACCGATACAAGCGGAGGTCCTTCAACACCAGGAAGTGATAGCGGATTTAGGGAGGACGTGCCAATAGTAGATTTGACAGTTACACCGGTCAGGGGCGGGAATAGCAGGACAGAGGCAAGAACGGGTGAGGCGAATTCATTCGAGATGGTGAATTTATTGAACACAACTTTTTCAGCCATTTCATCATCAACATCTTCAAATTCCGCATACTATGCTGTATCGCCATCTTCATCACCGCTTCGCTCTGTCATAAATCATAAAGATGATGTCGTTGATTTGACACTGTCTACTCCAAGGCCACAATCGAGTGAAGTGATCATTATTGATGACGCTTCTCCTACGCCGTCGCCCAAGCCGCCCAAGCCTGCATCGTCAGATGCACCGCGTGGTCTTCAAATAAAGTGTGCAATATGCTTAGATTGGCCAAAGGACATTTCAGCCACCTCGTGTGGACACATATTTTGTAGAGAATGTATTCGTACTGCTGTTCGGGCACAGCGGATGTGTTCTCTGTGCAGACATCCACTGACTCGACGGCAAATTAAGAGATTGGAGTTTAAGGTTATGTGATAGTAGTTGACGAGTGACTACACTCTTATACAAAAAAGGGGGAGAGTTGTTAAAACTATCGCTGATAGTCTTCATCATACGGACAATAATTTAAGTTTTGTTTCCCTTTTATTTTTTTTTTCTTTTTGCTTTAATCTTTTTATGTAGTCTTGGTCAACTCAAGACTTTTTGGATTGACGCTGAACTTTAAGAGCCATTTCAGATGGTTGTAATCATTAATAAGGTAAGACTAGATGTCCTGCTGTTTACAGATGAAGCAAGTATAATCTTAGCACAATAGTTCAATGCTTTGACTGTCAACAGAGTAAGTGTTATACCAGTCCACAGCTGGTATTTCGTGTTATTTGAACACTATATATATGTGTCTGTGGTGTCCTGGAATAAAGATGTTTAATTAGAAGGGTTAAGTAATACCACAACAGCAACATTAATCGCGTTATGATTTGAAGGTGTAATAGGTTCTGGTGTCTATTTAAACCCAAGTGTGTCTAATGAAATCGGACGATTGAACAGGCTTTTTGATAAGATATTTGATCAAAGAAAATATCGCAGGAGTATGGCATTACTTAAAAGTATATATGTAATAACGACAAGATGACAAGAAATGATTAAGCTCTTGATTGCGAACAAAAGTCAATAGCTTGGCTAAATTGCAATGTAATGAAGAATAAACTCGGAAGAATATTGGATGCGATTATTGTGCAGAGAGAGAGAGAGAGAGAGAGAGAGAGAAACCTCGTGATCATTCTTGTACGGTTTGGCTAACATTATACATGATTCCAGCTAGCGTTGGTGAATGATTACAACGGGAATATCTTCTTAAATAAGATTTTGTTTATTCTATTATCATTATCGTGTTATCTCTCCAATTTAATACATACAGACATAACAACTCTCCTGATTACGGATTAGTTGAACTTTAGTGGCAACTTGTGCCTCGTGATAGACACTTCCAGGCAATTGGTATGGACGTGTTTGTGTTAGTATATCGATATTTCATTATCAAGATTATTATGGAATCTCCTGATCGCACGATGTAAATTAACATCTGTCTTATAAGGTCAATATGACTTTACTTTATGAGATTAATAAGTTCATATATATACGTCAGCGGGATCATGGGAAAAGGACAGAATTCATGACTTAGGTTTCGGAATACCTGTGATCATTAATATCACATTAATTTAATAATAAAAATAATTTATTTGATTGGTTAAAAATAACATTAATGACAGGGACGTGTTGATATTAATAATATTATTATTAAATTAATGTTAATACTACTGCATTATTCTTCTTAATTATGCAAAGGATTTGTAGCGAGTCAAAATAAAACTAAAAGACCCAAGCTTTTGTGTCGCACGGTGTGTATTATATTGGCCTTTACCTTCCAACATAATATCGTTCGGCGTACCAAAATTTTACTTGCCAGATCAGGAGAAATTTCCTTATGATGACAGAACAATTGCACGTGCTGATATAAGTACAGTAGATGCTAGCATTGATTGTTCTGACAATTTCCATAGTCATGCTCTCTTTTACCATGCGTCTCTCTGAAGCTTCACGCCTCGCACTTCGTCAAGTACGAGGCGCTTTTGTTCGTACTTATGCCTCTACGAGTGCAGAGTTAACAACCATCACGCTCCCAGAGGATTCTATCATACCACACAATATTGAGCCACCGTCGCTTGAAGTGCAGGTGACAAAGGAAGAGGTAGTCGATTTATATAAGCAAATGGTAACAATAAGGAGAATGGAAACCACTGCGGACGGCCTGTATAAATCGAAACAGATCAGAGGTTTTTGTCATTTGTGTACTGGACAGGTGAGTTAAAAGCATCAACTATTTGCTTAAAGCTATTTGGATTGCTAATGTGTGATCGGATTGTTTAATCAGGAAGCAATTCCGGTTGGCTTAGAAGCTGCAATTACACCAGACGACCATGTAATAACTGCTTATAGATGCCATGGGTTTGCCATGGTCCGTGGTGCTACTCCCTATCAAGTCCTTGCCGAGTTAATGGGTAAATGTCAATTGTGTGCATCAAGGTATTACACAGTGAAATTCACTTTAGCGAAGACATTCGTTCAACGGTTTTGCTTCGTTAACCTGGTAGTTTGCTTAAGTGAACTGTCTTTAATACGAAATATATGAATTTGTTCTGGAAAGAACTTCGTTATTATAAAGCGATCTTCGTTAAAGTGAGACTTTGTTAAAAGTGAATTTCACTGTGTACATAGAGATGCTCGCTCGTAATCAACTGCTTACTTTTATTGCCTTTGATATATAGGAAAGGTTACGGGCTTATCTCGTGGCAAGGGTGGATCCATGCATATGTTTGCAAAGAATTTCTATGGCGGGAATGGGATTGTTGGAGCTCAGGTATGTCTGTAAGCAGAACAGTATTGCAACGTTATTATTGCCTATCTACATGATTTGACATTTATTCCTTCTTACAATCACAGGTTCCAGTAGGGACGGGAATAGCTTTTACGCAAAAATACTTAAATACCGGAGCAGCAACTTTTGCATTATATGGCGATGGTGCAGCAAACCAGGGACAAGTATTTGAAGCTTATAATATGTCTGCGCTCTGGAAACTGCCCATAGTATATGTATGCGAGAACAATCTTTATGGAATGGGTACATCTGCAAACCGAAGCTCGGCTAATTCTAAATACTACACGCGATGCGAATACATACCGGGATTACGAGTATGTAAAATTTAGGTTGACAGAGACATGTATTCTTTATACGCGATTTTGTGGTCTTGCTTACTACAACTATGTTTGTACGCGCGTACGAATCACTCACGTTTTTCCATAGATGAACGGCATGGACGTTTTAGCAGTACGCCAAGCCTGTAAATTTGCTAAAGACTGGGTGACTGCCGAAAAGGGTCCCTTGATCCTTGAAATGGTAACCTATCGCTATGGTGGTCATTCAATGTCCGATCCAGGTACAACATATCGAACGCGCGAAGAAATCAGCCACATGCGTAGTGCAAATGATCCAATCACTGGATTACGTCAACGAATACTAGATCACAATTTAGTTTCAGATACAGAGCTTAAGCAGATAGAGAAGGACGCACGAAGTTACATAGAAGAAGAAAAACAGAAAGCGTTAAAAGACGATTTTCCCAGCCCATCGGATTTATATACAGACGTCTATCTGAAGGGAAGCGAAGGGAAGCCTTTACGAGGAAGAGAGAGGGAGGAAATTTTTTATTTCCAATAAATATTTATAATCCGACTTGAAATCGAAAGTTGCGCATACTACTATGCCATATATAGAGGATATACGTATGCGCGAGCGTCTGATCACGTAATATTGCGTGATTGATTAACGTCAACACACGCTAACTCTCTAATTAACTCGTAAAAAAGATTGTTCGCTAAAATCCGTCAAAGGCCAGAGAATATAAACTTATGCTGAGCCTTTTGTATAAGAAAACCTCATAACAAGGGAATTCGGAACCTGAGCTGAAAGAAGGGAACGTAGACGGATATGGCGTTGATATAAAGTGAGACTGATTTGTGATAGAAAAATAATGAATTATACGTTATTCCTTTGAGATATATTTCCGTTTAATGAATGCTGATTGAAATCATTGATTTAAACAGTATTCACCAGAAAGCGTTGCGTATACAGCAGCGACGGGGTATACTTACATATAAACGCTGATTAGAGAAGAAATGATTAGTCTTGGGATCGAAAATACGATATAGCCGGATGATCCGATGGAATTATGCTCATCTTGAATGGCAACAACGTTTTATTGTAACACGTACCAAGAAATCACATGACATTCTCACGGATATAAGAATCTGGCAATTTAAATTACTTTATCTAATAAAAAAAATAATGGAAGCTTCTGTCAATCCCGTGCTTGAGAGCGCCAAATTTATTTCCGAAGTTAGTCTTCTGAATTAGGGTTGAATATCATGTTAAGAATCACTAAAATACCAATCTATACTAAATCAAGAACAGTAAAGATGTTGCGATCAATGAAGACAGTATTAAAGATATTGCTAACACGGTAGAGATACATACGCAGGATTCAGTCCTTACACTTTAGATGTCAAGATTTGCTTTGATCTGTTATTCTAACTTTCACTTGTTCCTTGTGGTACGAAGCTCTATGAGAACATGAAGAAAGAGAGTTATTCAATGGCAACTTGGAAGCAACATCAATTGCACCCGAAAACACCTAATGAACGAGCGATCGACTGGCAAGTTTGTTGAGTGACTAACGATTTTGCACACGAGTCAAAGTTTGCTAAACGTTATATTGGTATTAGGATATTTCTTGTTGATCTCTTAAACTTTTCATTTTGGTCTGACCTCGACCGAGATGATACAGGCAACTGTCCTGATCGTTTTACTGTTTCGTTCAATAATCAACTATATACTGGGTATTGGTCTTTGTGTGCAGCTATAAATAGAGGCAAGCTATACAAAAATGTCTTCATCTATGCTCTTAAGTCTCAATGACCTGCATACTTAGGGGGGATTAGACAAGATCTCAATTTCTGATAATCACCCAAACCTGGGAGTCTTCTATCAGAAACTTTTGAGTGCCGAATTGACTGGATTAATCACGGAATAGTAGAAAACTTCAACTAATGTGGAGCAGAGAAGCTGAAAGACCTGTCGAATCATACATTTATACATGCAGTCTTCAATCTTGATTACTCGACATGTTGCTTCATCGGAAAAAAAAGATCTGAAGTATCTACGCAAGTCTTCAGATCATTGAGACTCCTCGATTTTGTTACTCATTTATTAACCAAAGCCGACATTTATAGCCTTGGCAGAAAATGTTCCGGTAACTACTGCATCAATCTATGCTTCGGATGAGCAGCTGACTGACGAGCAGATTGGATATATTTTTCGTTCAGATACTGAGGAGCAAATTCCTTTATTACAACAACGAATCAAATTAATGAGAGACGCTGGACGTGTTCTTGTTGAGGTAAAGAATATTATTTTGTCAGAAACGTTTATTACGACTTGCGATTTACACCTTTTGTCGTTCCAAAACATACAGAAGTTTGATGGAACATTCGCCAATTGCGTGCGAGAAGCCAACAAATCAGCCATGAAGCTTTTAGAAATCATTACAGATAATTTTGTCTCATTTAGAGACGAAACTGAATACAAGGGACGGACAGTGAAGTTCTATAAAAGAGCCCAGATATTAATTGCAGACATATGGTATGAGTATAGAATGTTACGAGAATGCTGTCCGAACATTTATGCAATGGGCTATTGATATTGTCATATGCGTTTAACAGGGCCTGTTTCGAATCACAAAGTTACGGTGAATTTCACGATATCGATAAAATCACAATGTTTGCCGACTACAGGTACGTTATTTAGTTATCAGCAATCTCAAATCTTTGTTAAAGCAAAAAAGAAACTTACAAATTCTATTGTTGAAACTCAAGAGTGCCACAGGTGAGATATTGTATTCTTCTCAAAGTTGATTGAGATGCAAGCTACTTAACTAAATGAAGTAATTTATATCAAGGCTCTCTATCGCATTAATGCTATCTCATATTCCTCTCATCTCATATCATTACTTGACTCTCTAACAATTTTACCAAACGGGTCACGACTAGAGGTTGAGATTCGCGGTAAGTGATTCATAGATTATATTTTACTGAAAAAGCATAACCAGTTGTTAATTATATAATTTTTATAGGTTGCTCCATATGGGCCGTCGAGCTTATTCGACGCGTGCTCGTCAGCAAGATACAAGAAGGCGATTATCTACCTGTTAACGCAATTCTTATTGACTTTTTCATATGGGATTACGCAAAGAAATATCAGAGTGAATTGCGTATAAGAGCGCATCGTACACGATCGATATATTATTAAATGCAGCATGGAATATAAATGCCAGACAGAATTTGAGATGTTTATAATGTTTGATGAATATTGCCAATATTTATACACAACTCGTACATAATAACAGTGACGTGCTATTGCCCGTTATGTGACTAGGTAATGATAGCTACATACAAGTTTCACTAGTTTTATCGTCCTTTTGTTATAAGGACACGTTATTCCGCTGATCTTCAACAAGAGTCCGTTACCTCCTCTGGTTCAAGAGCGTACCTATTATACAATTGTACACCATTGTTAAGAAACGAAACGTCATATATATCAGTCAACCCGCTTACATTCGCACAAAAAACAAACCTGATGGGAATCCGTGCTGCTTCTCATTTTTTAAAATTCGAAGACCGGCTTTATGAAAAGTTTCTTTAAACAACGCATTGGATCTGAAGAACAAAAAGAGTATATGCATAAAGATTATGACACGAGTCGATGAGAAAGCTATTGGTAAATACGTTGTCAACATACTCGCCTCGCCTCGTAACACTACGTCCTCCTTGTCAAAACTATAGCCTACCGTCGTAACATTCTCCATTATTCCAATGATGCCATTCACTTTCAAACTTCGTTTGCACCGCACCAGAAACGACACCAAATCCTCATCAGTTAGATGCGACAGTACCCAGATCAAATCATATTTCCCTTCTTCGGGTGTAAATGTCTGTAAACCCTCACAGATAAAGCTCTCAACTCGCCCCTCTTGTTTCTCTTTAGCCAAGTAAGATTGTTCAGCCTGTTTTATGAATATTCTATCGAGATCAACTTTGTTAAAATGCTTTAAAAGGAAATGCTTGGAAACGCGGCTGATGCATAGGCGGTCGAAATGCGAGGAGGTTTGAGAATACGATTGTGAAGCCTTGGTGTCAGTCGAAGTTACTGAGCCGTAGCATGCCGTTTATTGTTGCCGGTACGCCTGTCCAGTAATCTATGGCGATTGATGTAATCGAATTGAAGTTTTGCGTTCTTTTATTGTCTACACCATGTAATCGAATTGACTTAGGTTAGATACACCGCATAAAAAAAACGGAATATATAGCGTTGTCGTGGTAGTGGTAATATTTTATAAACCCACAGACTTGCCTTGTGCACCGGTATCCCGCTGAAAGAACGATGTGTTGAGGCAATGTTTAATCATATGCCTTATAATTGACGGGAGCCTCGCTAGACATTGTCTTAATGTTCGTTTGTGTGAACTGAGATCTGATATTGTTGGCCAATGAAATGGCAAACTGATGTGACGTGCCGTTACATTAGATAATTCTTCGTTCAAAAAACAGAGTCTTCATCTGACATGGCCCAATTGACAAACAAAGAGACAATCTGAGCATACTGAAGACAGTATTAATTCTTCTATGGATTTTGTTGTGTGTGATTTGCAGAACTATATAAACCTGATCGAACATCGATAGTCTCTTTGGTTACTTTGAGTGAGTGTAAAAACATATTGTTATAATATACAGTAGTTAGGATAATGAGTTTGTGTTACATTATATTCTAGGAGTATTCGAAAATAGAAGGAGCGTTCTACTTCCCAGAATAGTAATTCCTCCAGATTAGTAATTTAGAGCGTTGAGCGTAAGTAATAAGTAGATTGGTCGAAGAAAAGGAAAGCAATGACACGGCTCTTAAGAATTAGCTCTTAGTCAAACCTTTCTTCCCCAACGATAAGTTGATTCTCAGTAAGCTACGTGTGTTTATGTCCTTGCTGACAGCAGGGAGTGACGGTGATCTTAATGTTGGGCTTATTAGGATATACAAGATTGCCTTTGTCTTTACTCGCATGAATAATCGTGCAATAAACGGAGGGATCATCGATTCATAGATTAAGTTCGGTCTACTCGACTATGTCCACGCTATTCCCCCTTACAGAAAATTTTTGATTGTAGCTAACACCTTAAGACTTTACAAGATGAATTCTAATGAACTAGGCCAGAGTTCTGTTAGATTGGCCAAGCTTTGAAATATGATTGAGCATTTGCGGTCAAGAGCTGGAAATAATAAAACATTATAAAATAACTATGGGCTTGATATAAAGAAGAATTTTTTATAAACGTATAACATATTGATATATATCTATAATACGTGACTTTTTAATTAATGGCTCACGCAGCCACATCAATCTATCATAATAATAATACTGATAAATGGACAATACCTTAAACACAATCAGATGCGAATCAATATTTGTCATTTGGCCATTATTAGTAATGATGTCATACATGCTGATGTATTATATCTATATTTAAAACAAACAATTGATGTCGCGTTTGCTGATGAATTTTCTAGAAGTTTCATGTGAAAAAATTTTCATTCGTGCAGTAAACAATTGATTATTGTGTATTATATAAAACGTGTTTCTCCCAAACTCGTTTCTTCACTCTCTCACCACTCTCCTTCCACTCTCACTCTATCGATTTATCCTAGGAATCTCAAATCGGGGAATTGAAAGCGCTTCGTGGTCACAGCTTGCGAAAGTTGCCAGTCCCTGGCTCGGAATACCCACCGCCTGTCGTAAAAAATGTTACCTTGATAAGGTAAAGCTCATATGATAATAAGCGGGACAGTATAAACCAATTGCCAAGGGAAGGCAATCGTATATCATTTGAGAAATGAAGCGGACGTAGTAGGATTTGGGACTCGGACAATCCGGGGATAGTAATACGGTTCTACTTTACATAACGTAGGTACATGAAAGCGAAACTGACGCAAATATTTACGAATAGCCTACTAATTATAACGATTACTTCACAATAACACACTCATTCCTTAGGTTTCCAAATGTCAGCTATCATTTATTTATTGCTGTTAGACCAACAAATCGTTGGAGATTGAACCAAATGATGCGTGCGTGCGTGCGCGTTGAATACGAAGGTAGTTATTCAATAGCTCTTTTTCTCAATGACAAGAGATACATCATGTGTTTTATTATTACTCTACTTATCTCCTTATTCTAACAAACCATATTTATACTCATCACTTGCATAATTTATTTTAACAGAAACCAATTGAGGAGTGGCAAGAAAAGTGGAAACATTGTTTGAACCCAAAGCGGACGTATTTTGAAGCTAAAGCGATTCATATCTAAGATGCTCCTCACATTATATATTACTTTTCTATACAAATTTACACATTGTTATCGACGCCGAAACAATGTGAGTTGCTCACTGGGTCCGCCGAGTTACCAGGGATCCAAAGTTAATCCCTAATCGGGGAATCGAAAGCGTCACGGCTTGAGAAAGTTGCCAGTGAGGTAATCAGCCCTGGCATACGGCGAACGGCCTGCTGTGAAAAAGGTCTGTGCGTAACAGGCTCTATTGGTTGTTGTTCTATTACGCGTTGGGAGTGAAACAATCGTGGTAACAACGCGTTATTACATAATTTTACAGAAATTCGACAAATATTAGAAGTAACCTATTAATAAGCACTAAATAATGTATACTTGTCCATTTTTCTTGTACCTTTCATTGATGAGGAATAAAAACGAACGCCAATCTCTTGATCAAAACTGTTACCATGACGCTATAATAACAGTAGATACGCCATTTACAAAGCATGTACAGTATATTAATTATGCTGTGCGTTACTATTAGAATTAAATTTTCTCAGGATGCCATTTACGATGAAAGTTCCACTAAGCTGAATAGTCGATTGTAATTTAAGATACCAATTACTCGACCAATTATTTAATGCTCGCAGATTAGCAAATTACAGACGACGAAGAATAGAAATGGATTATTTGTCACTTATGGCACTTCCTATCTGTCACATATTTCGCAACAAATATCTCCATCCCTCAATTAAAGCAGCGTAAGAAGACGATCCGCTTCTGCACACACTTCCTAACATCAATCAGATGCTTGGTAAAAGGTGGAAGTTCCAGCAGGACAAAGATTTTATTCAGAAAAATATTCGACAAATTGTGGCTTGGCCATCTAACAGTCCTATAGAAAATCTTTGGTGTATCGTTAAATATAATGTTGAGAGAAGGACGCCAAAAATTGTGAAAAGTTGAAGCAATTTATGGAACCGATTTAAAAATATCTCTTTTTTTGTTACACACTGTAAGTATACACTGCCCTACAATAAATCACTAGTAAAACATATAAACTGTTGTCATTTGCATAGCAAGAGATATTTTTGAAAAGAAAGACTTTTCATATGTTTTACTAGTAAAGTTTCGTGAAATCCGGTGATTTATTGTAGGGCGGTGTATATTAAGCTATTTTGACTATAAGCAACTAAAATATTCCTAACTAATGCATTATGATGCAAAATTCTTTATTTTGAAAGAGTATAACAAGGCATAAAATGAGCCATTTTCGCTAAATTAAAAAGTATGAGGTTCTTTTTAAGGGAGTATCTACCTAGATTGCAAGGTGTTCGTATGGTCATCTGAATCTGTTCTTGACCAGCGAACGTTATATCCGTATCCTTCATCATCAGCCGGGTATAGTCCGCACTTTTTATAGCTTGCTTCTTATTCGGCTTACTGAAACTGTTTTATAATATCACGTTCTCCGATTCGTATTAATATTAATTAACAGTGTTTAAGTCAATTGCTATGTTACTTAGCATTCTCTACGCACGACTACCATGGTGAGAATAAAATATTTCCAATTGGGTCAGCGAATAGTCTTCCATGATTGCTTGTCTGAGTTGTGGTTTTGCAAGTGTTCCTGCTTATTATTATTGTTTTCACTCTTCTCGCCTTTCCAACTTTTCAAATGCGCTTCGATATTTTTATGGAAATCGCGTCCGTACGGATGGATTTGTTGTCGTGTGCGACATGTGAGACCAATAGTAAACGATGTACAGAAACAAGTTCGCTATGAATGTAATGCAACCAATAATTATTAAAACCAAAAACAAATGCTGCAGTTTCCAACAACGGTGTAGCACAAATAATGCTCATGTACCTAGTCCGTAATATAAAAAGAAGGAGAAAAGAACTTGGCGATAGAAGAGAAAAGGATAGACAATTTAGTGATAAATCGATAATAGTAGTAGAAATTGAAATGAATTTTAGTTTTGCATCAGAATGACCAAAGGAATAAGGATTGACATTCTGTTGATGTATTGGATGGAACAATCTCTCTTCTCACGCAATCACTCGCATGCTTTGCAAAATGCAATCGCTTTTCTTTAATAGGACATGTTTATTTGATTCAGATATCTGTAATATAGTCATGCATGTTAAAGACTATCGCGAGGAACTTTTATTCACAACGATGCAAGTTAAAGACTAATGCTAATATGACCTTTGTCATGTGTCAGTAATGTGACTGCCAATACTATTCATTACCATTATTCTGTTAATACCAGGTGGGACAATATTAATATTAATATGATTCGCCCCCTGAAATAGATGGTATTAGTATATCGATATTAATAGCGTACATTTATGGAAGCCAGATGACTAACCCGAAGATCACATTGCCGTCTCTGCACATACCAATTCTAGTACCCCTTATAAAGATCCATCTGCCCCTTTCTCGTCTCAAGCCGCTTTATACCATTCATTAATTAAATACATACAGTCTGCACACTACTACTTTCGATTATTCTTCTCGCTGTCTCAGAAAACAACCAAATGTCCTCCTTAATATCTCCCATACGACTATGGCTCTGGCCACGCAGTCAATCCTTTTTCCTCAGAAACTCGGATCTGCTGCTCGTTCATCGTCCGATATTATCACACAGCTCTCGTGAATACTCTTCGTCAAGCTATAAACGCAATCTTCCTCCGAGACAGAAGCAACAGGAAGTGCCGTTTGTGAAGCCGAGCCATATAAGCGAGAGAGAGTTGGCACATAGGACTTTTTTTGCTTTACATAGACCACTGTTGACCCTCGGTAGTGAACAGTTGCAGGCAAACTGGGACCGCGGGCAAGGATTCAGTTGGGAAGAGGAAGAAGAGATAGAAGGTAAGCCATTGTATACTTTTTGGTTATGAGAGGGGGGGATAGAGTAGGGTGAGCGTGCTTGGATATTTCGGAGCAAACGACTAAATAAAAAGACTGCGGGTTGCTGCTTCCTAAACACTAGATCAACTACTGGAATAGCGTCTATCAACATGGATTAGAAGATAACATTATCTTTACCACCTTTTATAGAAACTGAAGAAGAATTATCAACCCACCCTCAAAGTTCTCTCTCCTCTCGCTTAAGTTTGTCAACTCAATCCACATTCCACCCGCCCACGCCAGCCTCGACGCCCTTTTCTTCAAACTCTTCGTCTTCTCTCGATCCTATTGAAGCAGAAAGAATGGTGAATCGTTTCTTTAATGAGCTCGAATCGAAAGTTCGTGAAGGCGAGTCGGAATGGGCAAAGGCTTTGCATGAACAAGAGCGCAAAGCTGCACGGGAGGAATTGGATGATGAGGATGGCGAGGAAGATAAGAAAGGTGGCGTTTACTGTACGAATATAAAACAGAAGAAAAGGCTGAAGATGAATAAACACAAGCATAAGAAGCTGAGGAAAAGACAGAGAGCGTTGAGGAAGAAGCTAGGGAAATAGAGTTAGACTGGCAATATCTTGTATAGAACCCTTGGGTTATTTTCGACAATTAAATTACGTTTTGTACGAAACTTTTGATAATAGATTATACATAGTTTTATATTTTTTTTTCCTACTTGCGGCTGCGTTAAGAGAACTAATGAACAATCTTTCCAACCCCATTACCCTCTTATTCTAATCTCGTTAAATAACTTTTTGAATTGAGCGTTTTAAATATTCCTTTTTGAATAATAGATAGATGGCTACATATGCAATAATCAATATTAATAAATTTATTGTACTAAACTATAAAGCAGAAAGCAATGATCCGATCCAAAGGCAATAACGGTTTTTTTCGATTGATCCTGATAAGAATGCCTATGATACAACAAGTTAGCACTCTCGAGTATTTGACCCGTTAAAGCATTCGCATGTCATTCCCGAGTACAAAAACAAGCTCGTCATACGAACTTAACATTACGATAAGCTAGTTTACCGGGGCATGCTGTATTTTTGTTTTATCACAACAGAGTATGGCATTTCGACATCAAGCATTTACATAATATGCAGAATAATTAGGACAGAATTATGACAGTGGAAGTATAAGTGTTTAATTCATACGTATTAAACCTGGTGCATGTAAACCTAAGGTCTTTTATTAAAGAAGAGACGGGAAAACAATATAATGGAGAATGATAATGGGAATTAAATAAAGTTTAAACTTTTATATTAATCTTATCAAGGGCTTTGAACAAATACTTGAAGCATTTTTGACAGCCCATCTCTTCGTCAAGCTTCTTTTTCCAACTTTTTCCATCGTGCTTGTACTATTCTCAGTTTCGAAAATCGCAACGTCATTGTGGTCATTGTGGTCATTGTGGCGTCCACCAAAGCCACTTGATTTTTTGGTATGTGTGACTAACACGGATATGTGCGTGGCCCATCCCGACTGTGATTATGGATATGGCAATTGTATCGCTTCCCGCGGAGACACAGACAAACCATACAAACTTTTTTCTCGTTAGTGTTTCAGATCTGTCTTCCCACTCACACGTAGTATGTTTCCACACAGCGACTGAACTTTTGTAAAGAATCTTTTTGTTCGGCTGCGAGGAGCTTTCTTCTAGTCTTTCGGTATCTGGCATAAATTCGTATCAAGTGGAAACAGTTTGTAGGGAAGAAACAAGACGAGACACATTTACATTCGAGATAGAGTGGATACAAATACACAATGTCGATGTTTGGCGCTATTCGAGATACGCTATATGCGATGACATCATGCTTCTCTAGTCCCACTATCTATCTCAACAGAAGAACCTTTAGAATGGTCAAATTGTTGGGTGAAGGGTAATTGGCAGAGTCTGTCGGATTTTTTCAAGGACTATACTATGGTTAAGGAATTCTTCCTCTTATTAATCTTTAGCGCTCTTATGAATTAGGGGGTTTTCTTATGTTTATCTCGTGAAGGATACAAATACTGGTCTGTTGTATGCTTTAAAGATCATAAGATGTCCGTTTGGTAGCGATTCTGTCAAGGATGCTATGAAGGAAGTTGAAATGTATCGTTTGTTCCAACATGAAAATATTATAAAAGTTATTGTACGTTCTCCCTATTTTTTCTTTTTTTTAATAAATATATGCGAATTTTTTTTGTGTTATTTACTCTTGCGTTTTCAATCGTGTAGGATACTTGCGTTGTACAGGATAAAGATGGTGCAAAGATAGTTTATATATTCTTGCCATATTATAAGGTATTTATTATCGCCTTAACGGTATAATTGTAGCTTTTTAATGAATTTCTATCAATACTGGACAAACATTTCTTCGTTTTGTTGATTAATAGCGTGGTAATCTTCAAGATGCTATCGATGAGCATAATTTGAACAATACTCGATTTGACGAGACTGAAATGCTGAAATTATTCCGTCAAATCTGTTATGCTGTACGAGCTCTACACACCTATCAACTGCCAGCCGTACCAATCAGTCGCGAAGACTCACAACCAAATGGTCAAACTGGCTCAAGCAATCTTGTTCCATTTGCCCATCGTGATATTAAACCGGGGTGCGTATAGCATTATACTCTATGGATTTATACCTATAACTATCCATCTGTAGATGGATACTTAGATATTATTTTCAATTAGGAATGTTTTGATATCTGACGAAGGTGATGCAGCCATACTCATGGATTTCGGGTCCTTAATTCGTGCGCGAATAAAGATTGTGAATAGAGCGCAAGCATTGTCACAGCAAGATCTGGCAGCAGAGCGTTCTACAATGCCATATCGAGCTCCTGAATTATTTGACGTGAAGACGAACACCCAATTGGATGAGAAAGTCGATATCTGGGTACGTTGAATATTCCGTATTTCGAGCATCTCAAATTGATGCATGTATCAATGTTGGCGCCAATTGGTATGATTTTACATTGTAATTGGTCCCGTTTGCGCCAACGCTGATGTATGCATCAGAATGTATGCATCAGAGTATAGATACCACACATTTTATAATTCTTTTGCCTTGCGTGCATAATGTATTAGAGTTCTTTTAACGCTTGTGTTTTCTGATTACAGTCTCTTGGATGTACGTTGTACGCTATGGCATATGGTAAATCACCCTTTGAGTCTAGTTCAACTGAAGATGGAGGTTCGATTGCATTGGCAGCGATTAACGCTCAGATTCGGTTTCCTGAAAATGATCAGTAAGTCTATAGTACCATGTGCCGTTATAACGTTGATCTTTGATCACATACTTATATATGAAATTGTTGTCTAGATATTCATCCGAGTTTAATGATCTAATCACGTACATGTTCGTCGTCGAACCCAAGCTAAGACCAGATATTCATCAGGTAACAAAACTACCTTAATACACGTGATAAGAATAATTTGATCTTTTGATATTGTGCTTCATATGCTTACCAATGCACAAATTTGCACTAGGTTATTGCACTCGTTGACTCATTGTTGGAAACTACTTAAGTTGTAATCAATATCATCCATAGCATCTACTATGATTATTATTATTATGTATATTCATTTGTATCATTATACAGATAGATATCAACCAACTACGTATGGAATAATGAATTAATGTATTATCATCACATAGTAATTGTTCTTGTTATAATAATAAATGGGTAAAAGTCACACGCAACTTAACACATTTGCACAGCAAGATTTCTGCGCTAAATTTTTGTTTGTCGCTCGCTATCATACAAGATAAGAATCAGGAGCGAGGGTCGTTGCTATCCTGGCCAATAACTGAAGTTCTCAACACACACCACCTGCCGTTGTTTTTATAGAAACCTCGGAATGTGAAATTTTTATCTGGACGTGTTTGCACGTCTCTAGCCTGGATCTCATCTGAAATGGTCCAAACATGACTAACCATTGTTCTGGTTTTTTTTGTAACGCGCAGACATACTAATACAGTGTGTTAAGAAATTGGCCCCCAAAAAAACTAAAATTCAAAGCACATCCCTTTCACGTCAAGTGAAATGAACGCATCAGATCCACCAAAAAAAAACAACCGAACTTGCATTTAATTTTATTTTCGAGTTTCGGATGTTATTTTTTGATGACTGCAAACAAGCTTAATTCTTCGACTGTGAGTGAGAATATTGTGAGATTGATACAGCAATCGATTACTGCTCAAAACCGATAACTCGCAAGATCGATCCTTTTTTCAATTTACATACCATTTATTTGAGAATAGATTTTTTTTGAAACACTTTGTGAAATAAATTATTATGGCACTGAATTAATTAGTTGGCTAATCATAAGCAACAATCGATAATGCTTACTGCTTTGCGGTTTTACGCAGGAATCTGGTATCTTGGAAAACCGGAGTTTCCTCATTAAACAATGTGGTACAAGAAGTAGCACCAAAAATGGCCCGTCGTATTAGTATGCATGAAACTTTCTTAGCAAAATAGCTAACCAATCGTAACAAAAAATGGCTTCTATTACTATCTTTGAGAATGACGACTTTCTAAGATACGCTTTCAAAGAATTTGCCAAAGCAGCTGATCAAGGAAATGCTAGTGCACAATTTAATCTTGGTTGGTGTTATGAAAGTGGAACTGGAGTAGAAAAAGATGAACAAAAGGCAGTTGAATGGTATCAAAAAGCAGCTGATCAAG